CTGAACAAGAAAGAATCTTCAGTTGGATGCAGGTATGTTTACAATTCAAACACGGCTTGGGCATTAAATAAACATATTAATTCCTGTTTAGTTTGATACAAAATCTACTGAAAAGTAGTTAACATTCTATGTGCATTTCAGGGATCATAGTTAAAAGATTGATTTCAGAAATTTAGTTTCTTTAGTCAGCATTGTTCTTCCTTTGAAACTTGCTCCCAATATATAATAAAACAAGAAAATGCTGGAAATACTCAGCAGGTCTGACTGAATCTTTGGAAAGAGAAATGGGGTTAACATTTTACCAGAAGTGGGTTGTTAGAGCTGTAAGAGTTTTAAACAAATAAAATGTGAGAAGGTGGACCATTGACAAAGCCCTCCAACTTTCCCCTCCCTGACCCTGAATGATCTGTCATTAGCAGAAGTCTCAGCTTCATACCCTTATGCTCCAACCTGAATTAATTCCAAGCTCAGTGTAACAGTGAGTTATGTTGCTTTTGCTCCTGCACCCACTTCTTTATCCAAGATTCTCCCCCAGTACAGTGGGGTCTTTTACATATCCCACCCTGGACCCCTTCCTGTAGCCTTTTATCATTGAGAAAAGCCAGCATGACATTATACACTTCTATTTTTCCGCTACACTCATTCTAAACCTGTTTCACTCTGACCTCAATTATTATCTCAGATCAGTCCCTGATGTTCAAAAAAACCCCTGCTGACAAGGTGCTGCCTTGTGAACTGACCTATACAATTGTATGATCATAACCATATTCATTTATTACATAGAAGGATGCCATTCATTGTTAGCTCCCACAGAGCAATCAAGCCAGTTCCACTCACTGCACTTGATCCCTGTAGCTGTAACATTCATTTCTTTTAAGTGCCCATCAGTATCCTTTTGAAATCATTGACTGATTCTGCTTCCTAAAACACTCATTGGCAGTGAGCCCCAGGACATTGTCATTCACTGCACATAAGAGTTCTTCCTCACATTCCCCAGCATCTCCTGAACAAAGTCTTAGATTTGTGTACCCTACCTTTATACCATCAGCTAACCTTTTCCTTGTCTAAATCACCTAAGCCTATGATGATCTTGTATGCCTCCATCAAACCTCTTCATAATGCCCTTTTGTCAAAGAAGAACAACCACAGCCTTTCCAATCTAACCATTGAAAAAACAAACATTCCTGAACCATTCTGGCGAATGTCCCCTGCATCCTCTCAAGAGCCTTCACATCCTTCCTGAAATGTGGTGATCAAAACAACATGCAATATACTTCTTGTGACCTAACCAGAGATTTATAAAGATTCAAAATTGCTCTCCTGTTTTTGTATTTAGTGTCACTATTTATGAAGCCCATGACTCCAAATGCTTTACCAACCATTCTCTCACAACATCCTGCCACCTTCAAGTATCGATGGGTCACTCTGATCCTGCTCACAAATTGTGCCATGATGTCCATTTTGCCTCTCCCTGTCCCTTCTGACAAAATGTATTACCATAGCTGCATTAAATACATCTGCTCGGTGTTCTATTTTGTTAGCCTAACTATGTCCTGTTTTAAACAATTCATTTGGCATTGATTGCTATGCCTCTAAGTTTGATATTATAGACAAATTTTGAAACTTTTCTCCATATTCCAAATTCAAATCATTACCATAGAATCAAAATTAACAGTAGTCCTGGCACAGACCCTTGGGAGCCCTCCACCACCCTCCAGTCTGTAATACAAACATCTGCCATGACTCTCTGTTTTCTAAACTTAAAGCATTTTTTTTCGTCCAACTCGACCATGATCTTCCTATTCTGTAGCTGGAGGCCAAACATCAGTTCTCAGATGTGGCCTCCTACCTCCTCTGGACCACATCTCTTGTATCGAACATCAAACCATTAATTCTAGGACAGCTTCCTCATCTCCTTTGGAGATCTTCCCTCCACAGTCTCAAACCTCATAGTCCTCCAAACCTGAATAACCTATTTCTAACTCCTTCCTAAAATCCATAGGATAAACACAGAAACATGTCCAAGCAGACATACCTTTAGCCTATTTTCCATCTCACCGAAATGGCTTCTTCTTAACTTGACTCTACTTTTCTCCCTTTGTCTAGTCTCTTCCCACGTGTGTTTCTTTGGATGCTCCTGACCACTTTAATAATTTCCAATTTCCCGGATCTGTCTCTACTTCATTATGTATATTCAGTTGCACTACACCTCCAATCTCTACCAGGATGATATTAGACTTCTCTATCACTACCATGAACAGAAGTCAAACCAATTCACAACCTTCTCTGCCTGGCTGAGTTCATATTGAACAAATTCACCTTTTACATAACTCACTTCCTCCAAATGAATGCTTTGCCTTAGATAGAGTCCTAGCTATGAGACCTGGCTAGTCCTGCCCTTTTGTGGATTACATGGCATTCCCTGATCCCATCTGGAAAGGGGCAGATCCATTTGAAAATCAATTCCACAGTCAACTTCACAGAAATGGGCAATGAAATCTTCGGCTTGTTCTGAGGTGTGGCTATTGTAAAAAAAAAGGTGGATTTTAGAGGGAACATCCCTACTGAAGTGCAGAAATGTCACATGTTATTGTACCATAGTTTAGGTAGAAGAGAGGCCCTTTGTAGACATAGGGTGGATATGGTCTCCTAATTTAACAGAAGTTTTCAAAATCGTGAGCAGATTGGATGGAGTAGGAGTAGATAGGGAGAAGCTGTTTCCACTTGTAAAAGAGAAAGAACAAGAGGGCATAGATTTAAAGTGATGTGAGAAAAAACTTTTTTCACGCAGCGAGTAGTTAGAGTATAGAATGCATTGCCTGAAAATGTGGTGAAGGCAGGTTCAATTGAGGCATTCAAGAGGGCATTTGAATGATTATTTGAATAGAAATGGTGCGCAGGAATATGGGGAAAAGGCAGGAGATTGGCACTAGGTAATAGAACCAGTGCAGGTACAACGGGCCAAATGGCCTTTTTCCGTATTGTAACAATTCTGTGATTCTGTAATGGGACCCTCCTTCTCCTGCATTGAGTTGCTTGGCCTTTACTGCATAGGCCTCTCTGTATTCTCCAAGTCATGAATCCCTTGGGAAAGGCTTATCAATACATGCATGAATGGGAGTAAGTGGTTTGTGCCGTAGACCTGAGCCAATAAAATCTCCCTGAGTATGTACCACACCACTCCTTATTGATTTTTGCAACATTGAATATTTATAGAAGGCACAAATAGCTACCAAATCATAGCAAAAACCAGAAGAAATCAACCAACAATGTACCTATAAGATGTCAACAGTCCCTTTAAGTAGCATTGGTGGAGGGTCATTGCCCCTGCTGAACACACATTCAAATATGTTAGGTTAACAGAGGACAATAGCTAGAATGTTGAACTCCAAAAAATACCAGCGTCAAATCTGCATTGTAACATGAGACCACACCAAATATTTTGTGTTTGGTAGATACAGATCTGGATATGGTCATCTGTCAGGGAACGCTTTGCTTTAAAAGGTTTAGCAATTCAGTTAATTTAGTTTGCTTATCCTTGACTTTTTAACTTGTAGACAACAAGCAAATGTTGTTTTAATTAATTTCTGAACGGAGGTGCTAATGCTAAAAGAAATTCAGTCATAATAGGCACACCGTCAAAAGATGTATCTCATTAGATATTAATCCCATTCATTTCATTGGCCCTTTTTGCCACATGTATAATAACAGAGGCATTCACTGCACATGAAGTGTAGTAAAACTATTCCAAAAAATGAAATGTTTCTTTTTAGTCTTTTCAGTAATAACAATGTTGCAGTCTTCACCAGTAGAATTTGCAAGAAAATTATTATAATAGCATGACCTTATAACAGTTACCCACAGGTCTCATATAAAAAGATCATTGAAATAGTCAAGGCTTGTCAGTATGCTTTTAAATGGCAATCTTTCTAAAAATTTTACAATTTGGTTTGGTGTGCAATCATATTTCCTGAAAAGAAAATGATACAGATTTTTAAAAAAGAAGAAATTGAGTTCTTTATTCTATGTTTTTTTTAAAAATCTGCCCCTTAATCCCACGTGTATGCCCAATCCTTAGTTAGCTTCTTGTACACTGATTCAAATTTAAGTTATATTTCCTGTGTATTTTGGTGATGATTCTCCCAGCTAGTCAGTCTGATCAGATGACGCCATTTAGAACTGCCATGTTGAAATAGATGCCAGTTGACTGGAAATCTCGATTAACAATACCCCAGCTGTTCATAAGCTGGATGGTAAATGCCATTTCTTCACCTTTCACAACAGAAAAGGTTAAATCAGTTCATGATTTATGGTGACCATACCAAACCATCAAGGTTCCAAATCAGATCTTGCGTGATGAGAACTTTTCATGTTAATAGCTCATACTGAATTACCAACCATCTGCCCCATGCTGATCTTAGATTGCTGGTTGTATAGTTTCATGTTGGCTCACTCACCACAGCATTTTTCAAACACCATAATCAAAATTGACAGTCCATCCATTGACTGAAGGAAACTCAGAAAGGAAATGCTAACTATAAGCTGAAAAATGAGATCTAAGTCTTTCAGTTTTATCACAAATCTAAGACGTGATCATCAGAAATTTTAAACACCCGTAACAAGTACATATCATCCATTAACTGGAGATTACTTTGTGATTTATTGAGTTATTAATCTTCTCATTAAGTTATTTAGGTTAATTGAGATGAGGAAAATAGAAACAACCACTTCAAAGTTAATATTATTTGGTTTTCCCAATGGAAGTTAGTCCACGTTTAGACAATCTTTTTGATAGCTGATTTAGAATGTATTTCCTAACAGCAGCTGACTCTCCAAAGAGAATTTACTTTGGTTTTACTTAACGCTCGCTTCCCCTGGCTTCATTTTGTAGCAGAGTCTGACTCATGGTGGATGGCTGTAAATATTAAGAATTTACAAACTGGTGATCTTTCTAGCTGAAAAATACCTTTGTTTTCATCAAATGGTGGTCTCAGACTCACCTGAAGGTTGACCACATCAGCACAGGAACATGTTCAACAGCAACATTACCTTGAGGAAAGCCAACTAAAGCCCAGTAAAACAGAAACTGCAAACAATGACCTCGACCCATGGCACTTCCAGACACTCTCATCTCCAATTATGACACACTGAAATGAAAAACATAAATGTATTTTTGTTAAAAATCAAACTGCCTTGGCCAGATTTCAATAGTGTCCAGAACCAACTCGGCTCATCTGGTATTCTCTTGTTTTGGAGAAAACACTGATAAACCAGTGGGTAAGTGAAAAAAAAATCAAGGGCACTTTGGAGAAGAAAAGACATGATAAATAATTTAGCATTTCCGAATGTATCATGAAGTAGTGACACAAAGGGTGTGAGTGATTTTTTAATCAGTAATGAGAACATAACATCTTAACTTTAGAATTACCAAGTAGTTCCCAGCTTCAAATGTAAGTACTCCTTCCATTTCTTATGTTTCATATCTAAACTGATTTTCTGGAAGAAGTGGGTTAAAAGAGCCACGGAACAATAACAAGTTTACAGTATTTTTAGAGTAAATTGTAATAAAAATTTCAGTGCAGATTTCCTCCACGTGCCAACAAAATCCTAAATCGATCCCTCGTAAAAGGTTTAGCATTTTATTACAGAGCTCTAAGAAATCCACTGTTTATGACATTTCTGATTTTAGTGCAGAAAACAGTTCATTCTTAATCAATAGTTGATTAATAGTTGATAGCCTTGTTCCAAACTTTGTAACCATAACGTCATGCAAAAAATGGTGGACAAGAACTGACCTGCTGGAATTTCAAACAAACTAATGACAGACATATTAGGTGAAATATTTCCACATTACTGATCAACATGGGAAATGGTTGATATGAACAGTTCTGAATAAGAGTGGCTTCGAACTATTAACTCTGTTTCTGCCTCCACGGATGCAGTCAAACATAGAATTATGGAGCTGGACATTATGGAAACAGGCCCTTTGGTCCAACTTGTCCATGCTGACCAGATATCCTAAATTAATCTAGTCCCATTTACCAGCATTTGGCCCACATCCCTCTAAACCTTTCCTATTCATATAGCCATCCTGAAGCCTTTTAAATGCTGCAATTGTCCACCACTTCCTCTGGCAGCTCATTCCACACACGCACGACACTCCACGTGAAAAACGTTGCCTCTTAGGTCCCTTTTAAATCTTTCCCCTCTCACCTTAAACCTATGCCCTCTAGTTTTGGGACTCGCCAACCCTGAGGAAAAGACCTTGGCTATTCATCCTATCCATGCTCCTCATGATTTTATAAACTTCTATAAGGTTACCCCTCAGCCTCCGAGCTCCAGGGAAAATAGCCCCAACTGGCAACATCCTTCTAAATCTTTTCTGAACCCTTTCAAGTTTCACAACATCCTTCCATTAGCAGGGAGACAGAATTGTACACAGTATTCCAAAAGTAGCCTAACCAATGTCCTGTACAGCTGCAACATGACCTCCCAACTCCTGTACTCAGTGCACTGACCAATAAAGGCAAACCTACCAAACATTTCCTTCACTATCCTGTCTACCTGTGACTCTACTTTCAAGGAGCTATGAACCTGCTGACTTTTTCCGGCAAACTCTTCTTTCATTTCAGATTCCGGGCAGTTTGCCTTTATTTGACACACTGGTCAGTCTGTAGGCTCACTGACAGTAGCTATATGGAAGGACATTGTATAAATCAGGAGATAATGAGGGCATACAAGAAAGGCTATACTTTAATCATGCATGACTTTAACCTTCATGTAGATTGGGAAAGTCAGATTGGCAGAGGTGGTCAACATGGAAGAATTCATAGGGTACATTTCGGACAGATTCCCAGAATATCACAACCACGGACCGGGCTATTTTGGATCTGGTGGTGTGTACTGAGGCAGATTTATTAAATAATGTCACAGTAAAAGATCCCTGAGAAAAAATGAGGGTGGAATATGGTAGAATTAATATTCAGTTTGAGAGGGAGAAAGCAACTGCGCTAAACTTAAATGAGGTAATTACAAAAGAATGAGGGCTGAACAAATTAGAGTGGAATGTGAGAGAAGTTTAGTAGAAAGACAATTGAGGAACAATGGCAGACATTTAAGACATTAGTTAATGGCTCGCAACGAAGACATATTTCAGTGAGCAAGATTGATTCTCAGAAGCAGATAAGCCAACCATGTTTAACCAGTGAAGTAAAGGGTAGTATTAAATTGAAAGAAAAGCATACAATGTGGCTAAGATGAATGGTAAGCCAGAGAAATGGGAAAGTTTAAAAAACTACAAAATATGACAAAAAAAGATATCAACTTTGAGGGTAAACTTTCAGTGCAAGTAGCATCAAGACATAGTTCAAGAGCTTCTCTGTGTATATGAAAAGGAAGACACAGAGATCGAAGTAAACATAGACCCCTCAATGTAATAAAATAAAGAACAGTCAATGCTGGAAATCTTAAAGTGAAACAGAATTTGCTGAAGAAAATCAACAGTTCTGGCAGCATCTGTGGAGTGAATGCAGAGTTAATGTTTCATGTCCTGTGACCTTTCTTCAGAATCCCTTTGGCCCCTTCGTGACTGAGGATGGCGAATTAACAATGGAGAACCAGGAAATGACAGAGGGGTTGAATAAATACCTTGCATCAGTCTGCACCATAGAATTACTGATAACATTCCAAGAATACTAACTAATTAAAAAGGAAAAAGGGGAATGGAAATAAATACTCACTTGAGAAAAATACTATTAGGGAAACTAATGTGGACAAAGACCTATAAGTCCCCTGGACCTGATGGGATGCATCTTTGGATGTGAAAAATGCAACTACGGAGATAATGGATACATCTTCCAAGAATCCTTAAATTCTGGAAAAGTGTCGGAGGATTGGAAAAAATGCCAAAGTAACAGCTTTATTCAAAAAAGAGTAGGTAACAAAACAGATAATAAAACGTCTGTTATCTTAGCATCTGTCATTGGAAAACTGCTAAAGACTATTATAAAGGATGTAAAAGTACAGAATTTAAAAATACATAATGTAATCAAGCAGAATCGGCATGGCTTCATGAAGGAGAAATCATGCCTGAGAAGTTTATTAGAATTTTCTGAGGAGGTAACAATTAGTATAGATAAAGGAGACATAGTGGATGTAATCTATTTGGATTTTCAAAAGGCGCTCAATAAGGTAATGCATGTTAGTCAATGTAATAAAGTAAGAACCCATGGTGTTGGAGATGGCATATTCACATTGATAGCGGATTGGCTCACTAATAGGAGACAGAGAGTTGGAGAAAAGGAAGCAGCCTGTAACAAATGGAGTGCCACCAGTTCTGTGTTGGAGCCAAGTTTATTGACAATGTGTGATTTGGGATTAAAAAGTAAATTAAAGATTTGGCTGAGAACGTGGGGAGACTCTGAAATGATGGGGTTGACAGGGATTGTAAGGGAAAAGAAACATGAAGCATTGAGGAGTGGGAGATTCACCTAAATTGACAGGCATAGCCTGTGATTTATTGTGTGAAGCATGACCTATGCTGCCTTCCATCTTGCCTGATACTCAAATGCACAATGAAAATGAAAAATGCCTCCACCCCTGCATGAATGAGATGAGTTTTTTTTCTGCCTAAGAAAGTGGGCTCTACTAATGACTATTGTGAGGCCCTTCAAGGTGCAAGGCACCATTAATTGTGAACTTACACCTACAGGTTTCAAACATCTGCAATCATAGAATTCCGCATATGAACTGAATGCAGTGACTGACAGTTACAGCATTTAAAATACATTTAGACGAGTACATGAATAGGAATGGTTTAGAGGGATATGGGCCAAATGCAGGCAAATGGGATTAGTTCCATTCAGGAAACCTGTTTCGTATGGGTTCTGAAGAAGGGTCGCCTGATCCGAAACTTTAATTTTGATTTCTCTTCACAGATGCTACCAAACCTGCTGAGCTTTTCCAGCAACTTCTGTTTTTGTTTCTGATTTACAGCATCCGCAGTTCTTTCGGTTTTTATTTGGTATGGACGAATTGAGCCAAAGGAATGTTTCGGTGCTGTATGATTCTATGACTCTATAACCATGCGGGATATAAAATCTTGGCCACAAGCAATCTTGGCCACGTCATTGAATATTGCAAAATCATTATGGCCAGCTCCATGAAGCAGAAGTAATCACAGGTGACCTTAAAAGTTTCACCTGGCTGCTGCAATTTACAAAGACAATTCAAGGTCTTAGACATGGCACAATAAGTGGAGCTGATTTTCTCTCTACTTGAACTGTAAATATTTCACAATATGTGATGTTACCTTTCTTGGATGATGTGGGTGGTGAGTGATGACGATTTCAGTAATCTTACTGCACTTACAATCTGCTATTGCATTTGTGCAAAATGGCTTGTGCTGCATTGGAATAAGGACCCCTGTGTGAAAAGTCCACGTATAGACATTCTAGGGCCCTCCTTGTCAGATTCCTCCATGTCCCGCTGTATCCAGGACTATTCTACCATGTCGTATGTGTGTGTGTGATGTAAATGCTGACTGCTCACATGACTAGGCAACAGGAGGTAAAGCAGGCTCAGAGTTTATTATCCTCGATGTGATTTCCACAGGCTGAGGATGTCCTGGGATACTGTCACAAAACTGTACCATCTGCTGGAATGGGACCTGCAACCTGAAGAAGCATGTGGACATTCTATCCTGGTCGTCAAATTGAAACCTGCACTAAATTTCGATGAAGCCGGCTGCTTCCAAGTACCTACTGGGAACCCATAAATGTATCAAGGCAGTTAGCAATGCAATTTGTGAAAAATCACACTGTTTCATTTTGTTTCCCTGCGTTGAGGGCAGTGCTGTAGCCCATGAAGGATGCTTTGCCAACATAGTTGGATACAGGGTGTGACAGACAGTTACAGATATGTTGAGAGCACTATATTAGAACACAGCTGACTTCAGCAATAGAAAACTATTTTGTTTGGTCAATGTACAAGTTTCTTGAGTAGATTTGCAGCTCAAGTTGTGGATGCTGTGGTTGGTTCACTCACTGAGCTGGTTCATTAGTTCGCAGACATTTCATTACCCTGCTGGGTAACATCATCAGTGCAGCCTCCGATGAAGCGCTGTTGTCTTTTCCCACCTGATATTTAAACTCTGAGGGGTGTTGGATTTGATTACCTCATTTCTGGTTTTCCTTCTCAGTGGTGTATGTATAGGATCTAGTTCTATGCGTTTGTTGATGGCCTTCTTGGTGGAGAACCAGGCTTCTAGGAATTCCCGTGCTTGTCTCTTTTGGCCTGTCCTAGGATCCTGGTGTTGTCCCAAAGGAACTGGCGGTTCTCCTTATCTGTGTGAATGGAGATGAGTGAGTATTGCTCCTGTCTTTTTGTTACTAGTTGGTGCTCACGTACTCTTGTGGTCAATTTTCTTCCTGTCTCTCCAATGTAACGTTTGTTGCAGTCTTTGCACGGAATTTTGTATATTACGTTGGTTCTGTTCATATAGGATAGCAGGTCTTTGGTTCGAGTTAGCAGTTGACATAGGGTTGATTCAACCCTACACCAACTGCTAACGCTAATCAAAGACCCCTTACCCATTATGGACAGAACCAACGTAATATAAAAAATTCCATGCAAGGATTGTGACAAACATTACATTGAACAGACAGGAAGAAAACTGGCCACAAGAGTATATGAACACCAACTAGTAACAAAAACACATAACCAATACTCACTCATCTCCATTCACACAGATAAGGAGAACCACCAGTTCCATTGGGACAACACCAGGATCCTAGGACAGTCCAAACAGAGACAAGCACGGGAATTCCTAGAAGCCTGGTTCTCCACCAAGAAGGCCATCAACAAACGCATAGAACTAGATCCTATACATACACCACTGAGAAGGAAAACCAGAAATGAGGTAATCAAATCCAACACCCCTCAGAGTTTAAATACCAGGTGGGAAAAGACAACAGCGCTTCATCGGAGGCTGCACTGATGATGTTACCAAGCAGGGTGATGAAACGTCTGCGAACTAACGAACCAGCTCAGTGAGCAAACCAACCACAGCAATGTACAAGTCATCAGTACCATATCTTAGAGTCTGTGCCAAATGGCCTGGGAGCTGTCATGATTCCTGTATTCTCAATAACTCAGGTTGCTGCATTATTTTAATGGGAGGCAAGGATTACCCTCTACAATCATGGCTGATTAATCAGTTACACAAACGACTGTGGCTGATTGCAGATACAACTCATTGTTCCACCAGGATCATTGTAGAACAGACAATACGCCTCCTGAAGATGAGGTTCTGATATTTGAATCAGTCGGGGAGGAGGGCTTTGCAGTACACTCCAGAGTATAATGCACAACCCTATTATACCGAGCTCTGTACAACTAGAACATGAAAGAGGGGATGTGATGGAAGTGAAATAGATTCAGTCAGCTTTTTAAGCTTATCATTTCAACACAGGGATTTTAAGATTCAAATCATTCTAACAGGTCTACTTTTAACATTATTCAAAGCTTATACATCACCTACACTGCGATAGCGCAAATCTCGGAACTTTAATAATTGTTCGTCGATTGAAAGAATCAACAAAGATAAACAGTTATACATGGAAATAAGGTACAATAGCTCTGTCTGAAATAAGCTATTAAGAGAAAGGACAAACTTACACAGGAATTGAAAGCAATTAGTGATGTCTGGGAAAAGGAGGAGTAGGGCTACATAAATAAAACTGTTTTGACACCTGCTTGATAACTGGATGCCTTAGACCACAAGGATAAATGTTTGCTCTGCTGAAGAATTTAACGAGCTAATTATAAGGCAGCGTGTGTCTTCAAACAACTATCAATGCCAAATGTAGCATGAAACAGGAAGGCTCCTTCTGGTAAGTTGCAGACTCATTGATTTCAGAAGATTAATCAATATTTTGGATAAAAGGACTCTAAAGAATCGTCAATTATATCACATCATAGACCTGAAGGATGGAAATCTGTAGAACCATCCAACACAGAGCCCTTCATTAACAGAACTTTGAGGAACAACACTGTACAAGGACCAAACCCTGGACACATCCAGAAACAGACACTGTTGGTTGGAGTCGTAGCTTAATTCCACTATTAAATCGGATAATAGCCAAGCTGAGTTGTGGGGCTTGACTTGCTTACTTAAAGAGACTTCTCTTGGTTGCTACATGTAATAAAGTAAAAATCACGGTTTCAGTACTTGATTGACTGTGAGATTTTTTAATAAGTAGACAAATTAAAGGTAACTGGTAACCAAAGATGCAGTTTGACTAAATGCAAAATGTCCAAAATGGTTTTTCCATTTTATGTTGAATCAATACAGTGACACCTCACACTGCCTTTGCTTTGACTGATGTTTCATGCCACTGGTTGGAATCTTTGAGAATTATTACTACAATTTAGAACACAAGTGGTAATATTTTTGTTCAGAGTTCCAACACTGTTAGATTTGCATATCAGCTGAAAACTGATGGACTGATGCCTTAAAGATTACATGCAGTGCATTAAACAATATTGTAAGCAAAAAGTCTTAAACACAACTGGACTTTAAGTTAATATCCACTTTTAATGACAAAGGTTGTGAAATGTGATTTATAGATAAAACAGGATTTTTTGTAAGGTCCCAAATGATTCTTTTCAGACACTGTTGTGTCTGATAGAGAAGGGAGAAGGGGAATCATATAGTTCTGCTCAATAAGTATTTAAATGAAATCTGAGAGAGGAGTAATTTAGCACTTTGATGAATTGCGACTTCAATTTCTCGAATTGATGTATTTTACCTGGTGAAATTCCACCCTAGTCAAACCATCATATTGTGCCTACATATATCGCTTTGTCTTTTATTAAACATTTGAGCTGATTCATCAATCCCACATTTCCAGCAGGTAGCTGCAATTGCAAGGCCTGCATCTTAAAAAAAAATTATGTACGCAACTGGTGATTTTCTATTCAGTAAAGATAATGGATGGAAAGTTACAAGTTACACACTCTTAATTTCTTGAGATGTGCTCCCAGTTGGAACTGTTCAATAATGGGATTTTAATGAGTATTAGATAAATGTTTTTTCAAAAGTATTGAGTGTTAAAATGAGAACTCCGATTTTCCCCGAGACCAACAGCTCAGATGCTGTTCAGGTCATCACGGAACTGAATGTCACTCCTTAACAACATTATATGTCATGGATCTTTGAGCCGAAATTTAATTGACAAACTTTTTATCCAGAAATAAACTGAGGGCTGCATTGCCAATATTCTGCTCCTGTATAAGCTTACTTCTCCATAAAAATATCTAGCACTTTTTTTTATACCCTGAGCTGATATGTCGTGTTGTTCACCAATTTGAAGACATCCACATTGTATGAGCAATGCGGCCAACACTATTTCCGGTGCATACCCAAATGGTTGTAGGACTTATTGTTTTCTCTGTGTGAATACCATACCAAATATTTTGTGTAATTCTGGTGCCTGTGGAAATAATTCTGGTCTGAAAGTATTAGGACTGAATATGCTCAGTTATGTTGAAGAAAATTTTGTACATAAAGGATTTTAAATTTAGTTTCAGTTACACTTCAGTTCATTTGTCTTTCTTGAGTCTATGAGGTTCATGTAATATAATCAACTATAAACTATGAAAATATCAATTAGGGTTACGAATATACACCTATAATTGATGACAATGGAATTGAATTACAGATTTTATTCAACAAGTCTGTCATTTTTAATTGAAATTAAACATCGCAACAAGGCTGTCTAACAACTACAACTTCCGTTTAGAATTAAGTGAATTTGTAACGACAAGATTATTCGTGGAAGTTAAGTCTTGCATCAAGCAAGTGTGTGCATAATTGACTATTTCAGGAATCCGAGAAAAATAAGTCTTTCCCAAAGTGTGCCGGTGCTTGATCTTGCGAACGAATGTGGCCTCATAATCCTGCATGGTGAATAACAACACAAACCTGTGTAAGTCACTGTTATTTCAAGTTGAAGGCTCACAGATTAAATTCTCTTTGAACACATTGTAAATTCATATTTGTATTTTCCATTTGCAGCATGGATGTGAAAAGTCTTGAAGCTGACATCTTTAGTTTAAGAACAGTATGGGAACACTACAGAATGAAAGACATGAAGCGCAAGGAAAAGTTATGAAAACTGGGAACATTAGATGGTCAAAGTCATGAGTTCCTAAACCCATAGAGGAAAGACAAATGAGCCCAAGAGAGAAGAAAAAGGTTGAGGGAGCAACAGTAAGAGATTGTGAAAAAGGAACAACATTTAGCAAGTACTAAAATATGGAAGAATAAGCAAGTTTAAAAAAGAGAAATGAGTTTACGTACCTTTTCAATATTGTTAAGTTTAAGATGGGCCACAGCTTCCTCTTCTGTCAGCAGGATACAGTTCCATGGTGACCACTCAAACCTTTTGTCCCACCTTATCATTGTTAAATCTTTCAGATTCTTTGAAGCACTCAGTGCAGATTGTGTTCCCCAAATACTGTCAACCAGATGCTTCAAATCTTGTTCCTGCCAATATAACAGTTGGTTAATCACTTAATGTCAAACTAAAAAGTAGTGGCTCAAAAATGTTAAACTCTAAATAGCTATTTTGTAAAAGTTGCAAAATTTTATTATGGAGGTATCGGACAAAGTAGAACTCTTGTTGTCGCCAATACTCCCCTCTTCTGTCTGCAATATAAAAGGTAGGTATTCATCTCTCTGCATTTGCCTGTGTTTCCAGTGTGCAGTTTTTCTGTCAGATTACCCAACATCAGCAATATTTTACTCTCTTAAAGATAAAAACCATTTGACATGAAAAGTGCATGCATGTACTGTTATAACAAGGTGTAGAGCTGGATGAACACTGCAGGCCAGGCAGCATCAGAGAAGCAGGAAAGCTGATGTTTTGGGTCAGAAATTTCTGAAGAAGGGTCCAGATCCGAAACGTCAGCTTTCCTGCTCCTCTGATGCTGTTTGTCCTGCTGTGTTCATCCAGCCGTACACCTTGTTATCTCAGGTTCCCCAGCATCAGCAGTTCCTACTATCTCTGCATGTACTGTTACTTCTGACCACCAGAAATTTTTCTTAATATTAGGAAACAGATTTAGCAGCATGAAATTAGCAGAACTGCTTTATAGTCACATATATTTTCATTAATAATTAGGTGAGGAAATGATAACCAAAAAGTATTTGTTTAAAACTTTTGCATAAGAATTATATTGTACCTGTAATAAGAATGCCAGCTGGGATCCATCTTCAAAGTTTGCCTCAGATTTTCTCAGCCGCTTAAGCATCGTTTTGTACAAGCTTGATTCTTCACGACGTCGAGCTTCATTATTCAGTTTATAGCATTGTCGACATATTTTAAGAGTCTGTGAAGTTAGTGACAAGGGGAACTCTGTGGATGGTAAATAGCTTCCACAGCTTGAACAGAAGTAAATATTTTTGCGCAATTGCATTGGATCCTGTGGCACCTATAAAAGAGATGGAATCTTCTCCTTATAGAGTTAACAAAATCTTCAATTCGTGCTGCTGTGTGCAAACTGAAAACAGTTCACCCCATTTCTACTGTTTGCACAGCAACATCGAAGGAGAAATTAGTCTAGCCTTCTACTGAAGGTCATAGGATCATAGAATCCCTACAGTGCAGAAAGAAGTCATTCAGCCCATCAAGTCTGCACCAACTCTCTGAAGAGCACTGCACCCAAACCTGACGCTCCACCCTATCCCTGTAACCATTTACCATGGCAAATCCACTTCGCCTACACATCCTTGGACTGAGGGAGGAACTGGAGCACCCAGAGGAAAATCCACACAGACATGCGGAGAACATGCAAATTCCGAACACAGTCACCCAAGGCTGGAATCAAACCCAGGACCACAGTACTATGAGGCAGCGGTCCTAACCACCAATCTACCGTACTACCTGCAGGAAATGAAAACTAAATACCAGACTTCAATATCAAACACTACACTTAGTCACAATATAACAACATAACACACGTTTTGGAAACCAGGAATTGAGATGGAGCAGTAGTGTTGCCAGATGTACAGCACAGCTCAATATTTGGATCTCCTCATGGCCTTGTCCAAAATTAATTGGGTGCAAGTTTTGTGCTTGCAGTGGCACATCCAACATCAACAATGGAGCTTTGTAATGACACTATGCTCCAGCCAGAGAGGGTTACTAATCAGTGGTTTAATCAGTTGGAGGTTTATGATCACCATTGGTCGGTCCATTATTCAACTAGAGGCGTTACTATCAGGCCCAATTTCATCACAGAACATTAATTATCCCATATAAAGGAATGTATGAAATATTTCCAGGATTACCCAGGAAGCAGCAAAACTGCTGCAAAGTTGAACATAAGTCATCAGACATAGCACCCAGTATTTTCCGTTACTGAGATTGAATTTATTGTACAAGGCAAAAGTGGCAGGACTCTGAAGTATCTGAGTCTCTCAGTATTTCCAACTCTATGAAGTGCACACAGAAATGCTAATGTTGTGGGTACAAAAGCAGGTCAGAAGCTTGGAATCCTTCAGTGAGTAAATCACCTCCTGATTTCCCAAAGCCTGTCCTTCTTCCACAAGGACAGCTGATACATGCATCACGACCTGCAAGTTTCCTCCAAGCCACTGGCCATCCTGACTTGGAAATATATCACCATTCCTTCAGTGTCACTGGATCAAACTCATGGAGCACCACCTCCAATAGCACTGTGGGAGTAACTACTCCCAATGGACTGTATCAGTTCAAAAAGGCAGCTTATCACCATCTTCAAGAGCATCTAGGCATGAGTAATAAATACTGGTGATGCCCATGTCCATTGAACTAATTTTAAAAATTACCTTTCTCTTCCATGTTTTTAAAGAACAAGGATGCCACAACATTCAGACTTTTTTTGATGGCTTTTCCATATTTCCAGTACCCTTTCCTAGAACTGAAGTTACTTTACTGCTTTCTTTAAATCAACATGTTCAGATATGTTATGACACAACATATGATCAGGTAGGAATTGTACAGAGGTAGGCACATTACCATTTTATCACATGCGTCCATAATTACTTTACTAAATTGTTTTAATATATTAAAGACCGAAATTAAATCACTGCTCAGTCATCTACGTTTATGTAACTCAAACTGGTTTCATCAAGCTAATCCTCATGACTTTATGTTTTAAGTTGCAGCGTCATTCTAGTGCACTTATGCTGACCCACTTACAGGCCCAATAAATATGCCTCTATTTTTTTTCTCTCTATTCATTCATGGGTTGAGGACGTCGCTGGCTAGGCAGCATTTATTGTCCATCCCTAATTGCCCAGAGTCAACCACATTGCTGTGGGCCTGGAGTCACATGTAGGCCAGACCAGGTAAGGATGGCAGTTTCTTTCCCTGAACTGCATTCATGAACCGGATGGGTTTTTCCCAACAATTGACAATGGATTCATGGTCATTGTTAGACTGTTAATTCCAGATATTTATTAACTTCAAATTCCACCATCTGCCATGGTAGGATTCGAACCCTGGTCCCCAGAACATTATCTGGTCTCTGGATTAACAGTTCAGTGATAATACCGTTAGGCCATCGCCTCCCCAATACTTGCATTGAGACAGCCAATCCCTGCTGCACCCCCATAGCAGACCCTATTAATCAGAATTGACTTGTCTGGTTTGAATTTCATCAGTTTAGAAGGATGAGATGATCTGACTGACATATATATATAAATCAGAAAGGACTTGACAAATGTCTAAAAAAAGTAGACACTGGAGGTTATTTTCTCTGACTGTGGAATCTAGAACATGAAAATCCAATCTCAAAGTAAAGGGGACAATCATTTAAGGCTATGATGGGATAAATTTCTTCATTCAAAGGCTTATGAGTTATTGGAATTCCCACCCCTGAGATCTGTAGTTGCACTATATTTAGGGCTGAGATTTGAAACCCAAGATCAGCCATGCTTGCAGTAAATGGCAGAGCAGGCTTCATGGGTCTCGATGGAAAGCCTTTTCCTGTGACCATTTCTTATGTTCTTATGTTGTCTTTTCTTAGGTATAGTACCCAAACAGAACATAGCACTAGTTCCGAATCTTCCTGCAATAAGAAAGTATGGTGTGCCTTTCTTGGATCCAAGATGGATGGCCTTGCATGAAATTCCACCTTCCAATATTTTGTCCACTTACTTATTCTGTCTATGAAATTTGCTATCTACACAATTTACAGCTCTTCATTACTAACTACCATCACGCATGAATACAGAACTCAATTTGTCCATCCAAGTTTTTAACATAGTGGTGAAAAACTGAAGCCTGAGCACAGATCCTTTGGGAGCACCATTGATTACAACCTGCCTATCAGTGAATAGCTCCTTTATTTTCACCTGTTACCAATTTTCGAAACAATTACCAACCCATTTTACAAGGTAACATCCAATTCCACAAGCCTCTTTCTTGTGACTAGACCTTCATGTGGAATCTTATAAAATGTTTTCAGCAAGGCAATGACCAAAGCCATTCTCTTAACCACTATCTTAGGGACCTACACAAAACAAAATAACTAGATTAGTCCAATATAACCTGCCCTTCACAAATTCACACTTGGTCTCTCTCTGATTAGCTGGCTATGCACTGACATTCAGGTTCACGCAGCCAGCTGCATGTAACTCTACAAAAGCCTCGTGTATAGGATTCTTGCTGACCCTAGATATTAGAAAGTGAAGCATATGGGATTACTTTTAGAACAATAGCAGTGCAGAAGTGTAGAAATGTTTTCATCTAAATTGACCCTGACATATGAAACCATATTGGTTCTTTTTTGTACCTTAAGAAATCTGGCGATTTCTGGGTTAAATGTTGGTGTTTTTATATACTGAAGAAAGAGTGTTGATATTCTCTGTCTGAGTCCTTCCAGGTAAGATTCCTTTACTTGTCTCATGAGAAGATCTGCCTCTCTGTCAATCAATTCCACAATTTCTTGTGTTAACTTACAGTCATGTTCCTATACAGAAAAAATAATTGATATCAGAGTTTAACCTAGAACTTAAGAATCAAATTACAAAACCGTAAATACTGTAAAGCGTTTGAAGGCAAAACAGAAAACAGTTACAATTTAATTCAAGTTGTAGCATGAGAATGAAAGACAGTTAATGTTTAGTTAAAAAGGAAGACAAGGATAAAAGGCAAACTCTTAGAATTCATAAAGCAAATAAAATATGAAACGAGGAAAGCACTTACGTTACATAATGCGTTTAATGATACAGGCCTGTGTCATAATTACAGACACCATTCAATTACACTATAAGAAAATTATTCTAAAATGCTTTTGTCTTCCAGAAAAAGTGTCAAAGGACAAGTAAAGATTGGTTGAGAGATTGATGGGAGCTTGCAGGTTACTGCTGGGAAGTGGGCAGTGGCCATTGCTAATGGGAAGCAGGAAGTTTAGTCCAGGGACTGCTGTGGATTTCTTAGCAGACATTGAGTATGTCAGAATATGGAGATCATTAGCACGCTGCTGGCTTTGAGATTTACCAGAAAGTGAGAAATAAGCATTGAATAGTTAGCACATTGTGGCATGTTGCTTCTTTGCCTGATCATCCACATACACTGATCAACAATATATTTATCAATTACGTTTCCATTGTGACAGTCATTACTGCACCAGCAATGACCAGCAATTTGCTGCTCTGCACATTAATACATTGTAGTCCTAATTTTCTTTTTATTTGATTCTATATGGATCTTATTAATGTGCATCTTATTATTGTTAAAACCTAATATTAAAATTATTCCTTTTTCTTCCATGCCTATGCTACTAACCCTTTAAAATATTTTATAAATTGAATTTCTTCGTTTTCATGAGTGGTACACATCTGCACCCTACCATGATTACCTTAATATTGATGTACAAAAAAAAATTTGGCACCCTTATCTAAGGAAAGATAAACTGGCAATGGAGGCAGTCAGATAAGGTTCAGTAGGTTGACCCTAGGTATGGAAGGCTTTTCTTAGGCATGAGGTAGAGTAAATTGGTACTCATTGGAGTTACCTTATTAAAACATAGAAGATTCTTTGGGGGCTTGACATGATAAATTTGGACAGATTGTTTCCCCTTGTTGGAGAGTCTAGGAGCAGAGGGCTTAAGCTCAGAATAAGGTAGAGATGAGGAGTTTTTTTCCCTTCAGAGGCTGGTGAATCTGTGAACTTCTTTACTGCAGCTGTCGAGGATCATAAAGTATTTTCAAGACTGAAATGGACAGAATTCTTAATATGTCAGGGAATCAAGGGTTAGGAAGAAAAGGCAGGAAAGTGGAGTTGAGGATCATCAGATCAGCCATGATCTCATTAAATGGTGGAGAAAACTTGATGGGCTGAATGGACTACTTCTGCACATGTATCTTATGGTCTTAAATCACAACCTCATCTTATCTACTGATCCCTGCACATGTTTTTCTCGGCATGCACCTGAGTTTTTAACAGAAAAAAATCAAAGAGTGGTTAATAACAAATAAAAACAGAAATTGCGGGAGAAACTCAGTAGGCCCAGCAGCATCTGTAGAGGGAAAATAGAGTTAACATTTCAAGTCCAGTGACCCTTCTTCAGAATTGTTCTGATAGTTTAACATCTGTTGGGCACTAACATGACCAGTTCTGTGCCGATTTTACACACTTCAATACCTTGACCGTGTGCTTTAGTGTCAAAAGAGCATCCAGCCTCTCATCCTGGGTCAAATATTTCATGTTAATACTGTTGTAAATATCTCGTAACTCTCTGGCCCGGATAGTGAACGGTGTGTCCATTTCAGTAACTCTCCCATCGTATGCTTTCCACCTTATAGGATCTGCACACTGCAACAGTTAAATATATATATTTTTTAAAAAACTTTTCACAGCTCATACTAAATTGCATTTAGAACAAAAGCCTTTCCCATATTGCAAGCGGTCAATAAAATATATTCCATTGTACTATTTTAGCACTTTATGTGAGAGTAGTGCAATTAGTTTATTTGAAAAGTACAGCTAAATAAACATTTGAGGTACAATACATTTTTGTTAGTTTTTATTCTTTAATGTAAATTCCTAATTAAATGAAAGCAACGTTTTTAGGCAGGCAGATGGAAATATGAACGGTTATTTTAATAATAGCTTAGCAAGATTTCACCTAAGCCAAACAAAGTAACGAAAGCTTGATAAGAAAGAAAAGCCGAAATTAACATAAGACAAAGTACCACATATTTGCCTGCATCTTCAATTTTGAAATAATAGCTGACTGAACTGACATTATAAGAAATTAATTAACATATGGATTTTTGTAAGATTTATACAGGACAGATGTCAATGCCTTTCAAACCTGCCTAGACTGGAACACCAGTATACTTAAGAGATGATGGATGTGAATCTTGTTGTAAATATAACAAGGAAAAAATTCTTATCACAACAATGGAACCACACTTTTAAGGTGAACAAGTACGAATTGTGCCACTTATCAATCTGCATACTTTCAATCATTATTTTACATTTGAAAGGGGGCACAGAAGGTTGGTTTGTTCACTTGGCTACATGGCTAGATTGTTGTGTAGAAAGTATGCGTTCAATCTCAACAATTCATGAAGGTTTGACCCCACCCCTTATCACCTGCTTGTGGAATGGTTACCCTCCATCTACACAAAACCAATTGCGTCTCTGTAATGAAGAGAGATGCCCATGGTGCTTTGTGAACTATGACTCCATATGTAACCACAGTCATCTTTTGAAACTTGGAATTCAATAGCAGGGATTTAAATTTGAGTTGGATTCTGCTGCCAAGGTTATATGAAGGCCATGTACCTGCCTTGTTTAGAAAACGTCTCCAGTCAGTAATTTTTTCCAACTTGACCAATTAGCAGTCAGATCACACGCTGCCCAATTAGAAATGTTAGACAGATTCTCTGGAGCAAGAAGTCCAATAGCAAATTTTTAGTTCAGATAAAAGAGAGAGAGTGGATGCGTCCAACTACTAACAGTTTTCAACTAAAAATGTCCTCCTTGTGGAGGAGGATCTTCCACAATAGCAGGGCCCTAGAAGCCTGCCTGGAGCTCTGGCCTCTGATCTGCCACTGGGAGGTCACCTCCGGGCAGTTGGCTCATTCCTTGATGGCATGAAAACCAGTCAGCCATTGACAATAGGCCTCAACTGACCTTTAATTCCTTTTAATAGGTCATCTAATCACCCTCAATCACTTGTGACCCTTATCCAATATCCAGGGAGATGGCCTGAGGATTGGATGGTAACTGGAAACAGTCAAGCTGGCTAGCAGCATGGATTTTCACGTCTCTGTAGCTCTGTACCTACCTCCCATATAGGTCAAAATCCCAACCCCCAATTACCTAATAAATGAGACCCTGCTCTTGGCTAGTGTTGCAGAAAGACTTCATGGAATTATGAGGAGCTAATGAGAAACGTCTAGTTTCTCTTAATATATTTGAATTACATTCGTGTGTGGCAAGAGGCCTCTGGAATATGTTCTAGAAGAAAAGCTTTGAGATTTTTGCTGTTTAGTTTTATATTGTTCCACGATACACCAGAGATACTGTTCAGTGAATATCTAATTTCCCTAATGCAGGATCTGCCATATTCTTATTTGATCAACATTTCAAATAAAACCTAGCGTGCATGAAACTGTTTTAATATAATTAGTAACACTGACCTTATTCAAAAGATTCTGAATTAGTTTTGGTCCAGTTTCTTTAGCAGCATCAATTTTGTGTCGAGAAATTGATGCAATGAGCTGTGCTTCTTGTTCAAGGAGCGTGTAAAGAGCTGCTTTTCTCTCAGGTCCAGTAAGAGTACGGTTTATGTTACTCAGCTCCTCCTGCTTCCACACTAAATACATATAGATGGAGAACATAAAGGTAATCTCATTTTTCAGTCTCACTACAACCATGAGGACCAGCAACAAATCATCAAGACCATATCATTTTATTCTTCTGTAATTTTGACTACATTATATAAATTAAAATTATAAAAGAACTGCTCTAAAAATCAAAGGATTGTGGAAAGGATTACTGCACTTTTTTAAAGCAAGTTACCGAACAGTCATTGTAAGTGCTATTTACACAGCTGTTGGTTCAAGCAGTGGTGAGTATCTAGTTGCAAACAAGCAGGAGCCAAAGAGCATCTGAGAATGGAGATTTGGCCAGTAATAAGTAACTGATTAGTCTGGGAAATAATGACTTGTTATCAGTAACATAGGCCATCGAGAGTCATAGATTCACAGTGTCATACAGAAACAGACCCTTCAGTCCAACCAGTTCATGCCAAACATAAACCAAACTAAACTAGTCCCACCTGCCTGCTCCTGGCCCAAGGCCCTCCAAACCATTCCTATCCATGTACTTATCTAAGTGTCTTTTAAATGTTGTAACTGGCTCACATCCACCACTTCCTTGCAAACCACCCGGTGTTAAAAATTTGCCCCTCATGTCTTTTTAAAATTTCTCTCCCCTCACCTTAAAAATATGCCCCCTTGTCTTCAAATCCCCCATCCTAGAGAAAAGATAGCTACCGTTAACCCTATCAATACTCATCATGATTTTATAAACCTTTATATGGTCACCTCTCAATCTCTTACGCTCTAGAGAAAAATAAAATCCCAGCCTATCCAGCCTCTCTTTATAACTCAAACATTCTATACCTGACAACATCCTGCTAAATCTCTTCTGAACCCTATCTAGCTTAACAATATCCTTCCAATAACAGGGTGACCAGAACTGGATAGAGTACTCCAGAACAGGTCTCACCAGCATGCTGTACAACCTCAACATGACATCCCAACTCCTATATTCAAAGGACTGAGCAACGAAGGCAATCATGCTAAATGCTTACTTAACTTTTGTCTATATGTGATGCAAGCTTCAAAGAATTATGCACCTGAACCTCTAGGCCCCTCTGTTCTACCTGCCAACAACCATTTGATTAGCTCCTAGGCAGCTGAACAGTTTGTGGATATGAATGTTTAGGTAGAAACCATTGGGCCTCTGGAAAGGAAGGAGCTGGTCCATTCTCTACACTAAAAAAAACTTCAAGTCTGAACATAGCCAGTTCCCTCATTAATTACTGTTAAGTTGTGGCATTTAATCAATAAGTCAGAGACTTTTGTATGTGAACCACTTTTTCTCACCTGCAAGCAAGTGCAACTACCTGAAGAAGGAAGGTCAAGGGGCAACAAGTCCTGACAAGCCAAAAAAGGATCATTTCAGCAAATCCTGTGAACAGGAACCATTGAATTGCCTTTCCCGTCTCTCCGTCCACCTTTCACATCCATATATTCCCGTGTTTGAATGTGTTTGAGTGAGTGTGTAGAGTTTTATAAGGGGGATTAGAGTAACCCCTTAAGCAGCAGAATTACATGTCATTGGTTCATAATTATTTACCTGTAGCTAGAATCTATTCATTTGAGCAGAAACCAGGTCCATACTTTCTGTGAACCCCGGTCTAAAAGTCAGGTAAATTGAGGAATTTTAGGCACTTGTATAAAATCTTTAACTTTCATGTGACGTCAGGGGAAGCTGGGCTTGATTTCCAGCATGTTACCCAGTGAGTCATAGCAAGGCAAAAAAAAAAAAATCAGAACTGAAAGTGAATATCATCTCTGAACTGAGACAAAATTTACAAGTTTAAGAATAAAATAACATTTAACAAAAAAATTATGTACATATTACAGGAAGCAAGAACATAAAAGGTCTGTCCTAAAGCATGAATATACCTTCCAAGGCATGAAAGAGTAGATCAAAATCTTCCTTTGTCTTAGGGTTCATTCTTCTTTCATACTGTCTCTTCAAGTATTCTTGCTTTCCCATTTTAATTTTCAGTTCTTGCTCCTGTTCCCATTGTATCCTCCGATTCCTTTGCATCCTCAGTTGTTGTACATAATTCTTAGCAGCCCAGCGTCTAAAGTAGGTCTGCAGCACAATTACCTAAAAAGAGGAATAAAACCGTACAGCTAAAAATCACACGTGAATTTTTGATAGTACATCAATGCATTAACACTGACATTTTTCAAAATAAAGTTTTTGTCAAGGTGATGAAGTTTATTTCTTTACTGCCATTTAATAATCTTCTCCTTCTCCAAGAAATTAGCCGGTACTAATTCCGAACAGGTAAATCAGGGCAGATAGTTGGTGGCAGCAGTTCACCGATTCCTTGTCCCAGCAATCACTCAGCTGTACCTTCACCACATGCTCTGTACCACCCTACATGCTCCATCGACACCATCCTCCTCATCCAAGCAAGTTGGCATTTGCAAACTATCAGCCTTGCCATATCATCATACATGCTCTTAGAACAACTCACACCATTTTAGCTTTTCGACACTTTACTTCAGAACTGAGAATCGCCAACAATATGCATGCTTCTGCCAAGTTGCTTTGTGTGATGGTTACACATGCAACTCCTGCACCTGCACAAGATACTTATGACTCTTAGCTTGCATTGCTAGTGCTCACTTACTTTGCACTTATTTCATGATGCCAGCTTGTCTACTTCACATTGCTTCCCTTGTGCACACCTACTGAATTCAGCACTGCCAGCATTTGTGTAAGTGAAACTGCTTTCTTAGCTCTTCAGTGCCAAGCTACAGGCTGCAGCCTCTGTGGCTTGCAGTAGCTTTGAGCACAGAGAGAGACAGGTAGACATCTTGTCACAGTAAGAAGCACTGAACATTCAAGGGTGATGTTGCTGTGCGTTTCTGTGCTATGTCAAAGTCATGCCTGTAGCACAGACCAGGAGTTTACATGGCAAACAGACAGTGTTTGCTTCAAGCAAATGACCACGTGTGAAAGTCAAAGGGGAGCAGTCCTTAAAGTTATCAAGGTGGACTGTGGTTGGTCAGGGAGTAACACTGCAATCGGTCAAAGTGCTCATCTGATTCCAGGCTAGGTGATGGTTACGTTCAGTCAGGCGCTTGGTTCTACTGGGGACTCGTGCCCTTGCAACCTATGGATCAGGAACATGAGTAAGCCATTTAGTCCATTGAGATTGCCCAGCATTCTAGATCATGGCTGATCATCTACGCAATGCCACGAGCTAACACTATTTCTATATCCCTTGATGCCATCAGTCACTTTCTTTTCCAGATTAGAGAATTAGAGAAATAAAAATTAAAAGAACTGTGGATGCTGTAAATCAGGAACACAAACAAAGTTGCTGGAAAAGCTCAGCAGGTCTGGCAGCATCTGTGAAGGATAAAACAGAGTTAATGTTTCGGGTCTGGTGACCTGAACTCAGTTCTGAGGAAGGGCCATCGGACCCGAAATTTTAACTTTGTCTTTTCCTTCACAGATGCTGCCAGACCTGCTAAGCTTTTTCAGCAACTTTGTTTTTGTTCCTTGTTTTCAAATTAGAGGCCCTGCTAAAGGAAGTTGCAGTAATCATGCCTGCAATCATTCAGTAATGTCACCTATCTGGCTTCAATTTGCACTTCATAGTCAGGTCATTCATTGTGCATGAATACAGACCAAGAAATATGACTTCAAACAATCATGACAATCACACTGAATTGTTATAACGTCAGCTAAGCAAATGTAATCAGATAAAAGCACTTAAAAACTGGAGCTGAGCTTTCAATTTTACAAGTATACTCCATGGGTAAAAGCTGACAATGTTTTGCAGCTACCATATGCACACACTGAACTTAAGTACATAAGAACATGGTCTGAGACATGAAAGGGGGCCTTTTCTTTTGGGGTGGAAGGTGGGTGGCGGAGTCAGAGTTAACAATGCTAGGGTTAAGGCACCCCTCCATAATAGTGAACACAATGTGATTGACTTTTACATCTGGTTTGAAAGGGAGAAGATTGGATCTAAGACTACCATTTTAAACCTAAATAAGGGAAACTATGTGGGGGCATGAAAGTTGAGCAAGCTGAACATATCTGGCATACAAAGCCATCTGCTCGATAAATAGGGAAGTAGTAGCAGACATTTAACGGGATATTTCAGAATACTCAGAATAAGTATGTTTCTATTATAAAGAAAAATTCAAAATTAAGGACCGAGCATCCATGGTTATCTAAAGTAGTTAGGAAAAGCATCGAGCTTAAGAAAATAGGATTTAATTACACAAAAATGAGTGGCAAGTCAGATCATTGGTCAGAATATAAAGTATGCAGAAAATGGCCATAAGGTTGACCAGGAGGAAGAAATGAAAGCATAAGACAAATCTAACCAAAAAGAGTTAGGCAACAGCTTCTCTATATAGTTAAAAAGGAGACAAGTAAGCAAATTGAGAGTTGGGGTCCGGCAGAGAATGACAATGGGGAATTAATAGTGGACAAAAAGTAACAGAAAATGAAATGAACAAATATTTTGTTTTTGTCTCATTAGAGGGGGCAAGAACACCTTGCCCAATTCTACCACACATATTGCCATAGCCTATATCACTCAGAGCCTGATAGGATAAACACTGGGCAGAATCTTAAGTATTGTCCACATTAAAGTGCACGCCTTGGCTGTAGTCCTCAACATCACGGTTGAAGAATCTCTGACATCTGAGGGTAACTGCAGTAAAAATGTTGGTTGCTTGTGATAGATGAGCAGTGCTTGGCTGTTACAACTCCTTTCATCTTTGGACGTCTGAAGACACTGCTCGTCTCTCAAAAAGGTTCAACTTAACCAGGTACATTAATGAAAATATACTAGAGCAGACTTTTTAACCGTGAAAGAGAAAATAGGATCACTAAAGAGAAAGGTTATTTACACCCATGCCATATTTCACCTTTGCCATCTATGTCTTCAGAAAGTTTATTTTTCTTATTCTGCTCCCCACCATGTCTAAGCGCAGACCCAACTTACAAAGCTGGAGGTCGAGAAATCATGCTCTGTACTTGACAATGTTGACTGGAGACTAGATGGTTATACCTGGATGCATTACTGAGAATATCCTGCCCGGACGCAAGTTCACCCCCTTTGGTTTGAATTTCTGGAGGCTTTGCACACATTGGCAATGGGGACATGGAGGGGCTGGATATCTCTGGAATTCCTGAGAAGTTTCTTGAAATTCTACCTCTACTATCATACCTTTGGTGCTGTTGGAAACATCTTGCTCCATGAAAAGAGGACCTCTGCCCCTAACCAGGGTGAGGTTGAGATCTCTTGGTCCCCATTTCACCCTGCCATTGACATTGAGAACCTATAATGACAGCAATGTATATTTGGCAGACACAGAGCTTGCTGAAGCTGGGTCTCTATGGATGCTGCTAACTTCTCCATGGAAGCAGTCAGGTACATGCATAATGAAGCCGTCACAGTACTGATAACATTAATGGACTCCTTGATCTTTTAATTTAACTTACTGAACATCTCTGAGAAATCTGTATACCATTTCTGTGCCTGCCTGTGCATTCTGACAAATGGCCAATGCTATGGAATCATCTTCTGCTTGGTGCAGAGATGGCAAGTGGTCTCCAGGAGTCCTTTGAGTGCCAGAGGCCAGAACGTTCCTTCTTCAGTCAGGTGCAGATATGTCAGTGATGTGCTCACCAGACTGTGCTCTTGAGTCTAATGTAGTAAGAGAATCCACTGAGATACAAGACCTGAGCTGGTGAAGGGTGCATCCTTTGAAGTTTCCTCCTTAGAGATGGAGCTGAGAGTTTCTGGTGCTGGCCTTATCCTGGCAAAGATTTATTGAGTGCAGCTTGTGCATGCATAAGACAAGATATGGAATTATTCGCTTCAAGTTAAAGCTTGTGCAGATTAAGAAAGAGTTAGCAATGACATTAATGGAGAGCAATGAAGCAGAATGAAGTTGGCTGGGTTGAGTAGCCACTAATATCTCTCAGTCATCACATGCTCTTCTTTGTCAAATTTGAGAATCTTCTTGTACACAATGAGAATGCCCACAACACTTGCCCCCACCCACCAATGCACATCCTGGCCCAATTACTGGCCAAGTTGAGCTTGCAGTGAGACAAAGGGAGGGATTAAGAACACAAGAACACAAGAACACAAGAACTAGGACCAGGAGTAGGCCGTCTGGCCCTTCGAGCCTGCTCCGCCATTCAATAAGATCATGGCTGATCTTTTCGTGGACTCAGATCCACTTACCCGCGTTCTCACCGTATCCCTTAATTCCTTTATTGTTCAAAAAAAATCTACCTTTTTTTTAAAAGCATTTACTGAAGTAGCGTCAACTACTTCACTGGGCAAGGAATTCCATAGATTAACAACCCTCTGGGTGAAGAAATTCCTTCTCAGTTCAGTCCTAAATCTGCTCCCTCTAATCTTGAGGCTATGCCCTCTTGTCCTAGCTTCACCTGCGAGTGGAAACATCCTCTCTACTTCTATCTTGTCTATTCCCTTCATAATTTTATATGTTTCTATAAGATCCCCCCTCAATCTTCTGAATTCCAATGAATATAATCCCAATCTACTCAGTCTCTCCTCATAAGCCAACCCCGTCAACTCTGGAATCAACGGAGTTGATTAAGTATAATGAATGTGGATGTTTAAGCAGTTCATGATAATGTATGAGTAGGACAGGTTGAGTAGGAAACTCAAGTTGGCATGAGGGGTTATTAGTATGGGAGTTTGAAGGGGATAGAGCCGTTGATTGGATATAGTGCATGCAATAGTGAGAGTTGTAAACAACGATTGTTGGTGAGAATAATGCGCAATGGCAGAGTCCGAGTTGGGGGGTGGCCCTGTAAGTGAGGGTTGCAGGGAGAATATGAATTGAATTAGCTTTATTGTTACAAAAACAGAAATCGCTGGAAAAGCTCAGCAGGTCTGGTGGCATCTGTGAAGAGTTAATGTTTTGAGTCTGATGAGCCTACCTCAAAATTTCTGTTTTTGTTTCTGATTTACAACATCCGCAGTTTTTTTGGTTTTTATTTAGCTTTATTGTTACATGTACTCAAATGAGTACAGTGAAAATTTTAAAAGTCACCACATTACCGTGGCATCTTAGGTGCAATGGTACCTAGGTACAGATTCTGAAGAACAAATTCTTAGGAAAAAGAAATAGAAAAACAAAAAAACAAGAAGTCCAGCACTGCAGATCATCAGAATAAATTTAAAAAATAAAGAAACAAAAAGTTCAGAATAACAGGCCTTCAAGCCCAATCCAATTAGCACCTAACCTCCAGTAATTGAAAGAGAGACCTCCACTGCTGCCTGCACTGGACCCACCAATGTGGGAGTTGCCAAACTTTAGGCAGCATCTCTTCAGATTGCTAGCACCATACTTAAGCCCGACGGCACTTCACTTTGGACACTATAAACTAGGGACTATCCTTCACGCTGTGCATCATGTACAGGAAACTGGAGGTGCTGCTGGATGGGTGGTGAAGAGCAGTGTGCCAACTTTTTTCCTGTCATCTGCCACAGGAGGCCACGCCAGCAGCCGAAACCAGCCTGGACCCAACTCGCAATCTGGTCTGAAGTCAAAAGAGACACCCGGCACTGCACAAAACTATCAACGAACATCTGTACTCCATAAGAATAAGCTCATCTGCTTTCCTTTTTTTTGCTTCCACCCTTTTTCTTTCTTTTCTTCTTTTCTGTGGCTATTTGGTCAGCAGCTACAAGAATGGGCCATGTGCAGAGTGGCGGACGTGACTTCTCCCAGTGATTGGAGGCAGCGGCCGCAACGAAGTCCTTCCGGCTTTTGGGGCTGGCAGCAGTGGCAGCAAAGCTCCTCCAGTGACTGGGGGCACTGGCACTGGTGGCAGCGCACTCTTCAAGATGGCAGCGCCGGCAAGGCAACATCTGCAGCTGAAGTGGGACTCTAGGCATGGCAGCGGCCTGGTAGCGGAGCCAGAGACTCTTGGTGTGTGAATGTTACAAGATTTCTGAAGTGGCAAACCCTTCCAGTTCTCCTGCCATGGAATTCCATAAAACAGATGCTGAGAGAGCCCAGTTGCATTCATGCAGTGAAGAGCGAAAAATTTCATGAGAAAAGCCACTCTGATCCATGGTGGATCAGGTGCCATGAATCTTAGGTAAAACACTTACTGAAAATGAGAACAATCAACTCATAACTTTATATCAGCATGCCCCATAACTAAATCAACAAATTGTTATTTGACCCATTACCATTGAAGAAGAATTGTATAATTATGTAGTTAGGTTGCTGATTTCAGAAGTTTTAAAAATGTTTATAATCTATCTTGATACATTAATAACTCACCGCTTTCAACCTCCGAGCATGGTATTGTGCAGCAGTGAAGTATTTTCCCGGAGTAACCAATTTGTCTGTGATATTGGACACATAACAGCCAATTTTGGTCATCTGTGTGGATGTGTCATTTGCTGTTTGCTGATACTGATTCTTGTCAGAAACTGTCTAAATGGAGGAAATTTGCCAAAGACAAAAGAAAATAAGTGTTTATTATAATACGGGAAATTTGTGGAGAACAAACAACATCATGGACTCCTTTCTGATTTTCTCATTAACTTTGTGTTAAATTTACCCCATTAATAATTAGGCTAATTAACTCCAGATGTATAAGAGCCATTTTTTTTCAAAACCTGCAAGCAGTTACCATATTGATAGTCAAAACCATACTGAGGAAGAACAAATATAACAATTAAAATGGCATCTTCAATGTTATAAAACGTCCCAAGGCACTTCCCAACAGCATTACAAAACAAATTATGCCACAGAACCAAGCTATATTATACCAGATTGGTCTTTCTTTTAAAGAAGTAGATTTTAAAAGGAGTCTTAAAGGAGGAAAGGGATGTAGAGATGTTTATGGAGGAAATTCCAGCATGTAGGATCTAAGCAACTGAAGGCATGGTCAGTAGTTGAGAAGCATTTAAAATTGGAGATGTTGAAGAGGCCTGAATTCAGTGAGTGCAGAATCTTAGAGGGTTATGGATTAAAAGCAAATTTCAAAGATAGGAAGTGGCGAGACCATATCATGATATGAAAACAATGCATTGTTTAAACTTGAGAACTAACATGGATCATATATCCTTTACTCATAGATGTATATGGGAGAGATGGGTGAGCAGGAATTGATGTGGATTAGGACACAGGCAGCAGAGTTTGAATTACATTAAGTTTTCCTTGTATGGGCTGGCCAAGAGTGTATTGATAAACACAGGCAAGGATACAGTTAGTAGCGCTATTGAGGTGGAAATAGGTGGTCTTAGGAATTACATGCATTTGTGGTAGGAAGTTCATCTCAGTGTTAAAAACAAATTAAAAGATCCTCCTAACATTGTACCTGTCCTTGCAAGGACAAATGTTCTCAACATCTATTAGCTGGGCTTGCACAGGGATACAGAATTTCATCCGAGGAATGGAAAAGTAAAAGAAGTGCCTTTATGACTTAATTTGACATTTCTGCCACTGGTTACTACAAAAGTGTTGAAATTAGCTTTAAAGATGAACGCTTATTTCTAGACAGCTACGTGTCAGGACAATACTTTTCATAAGGTGGAATTTTCAAGAAAGCAATAACATACTTACAAAACAAAATAGCAGATTAAAATTTGAAAAGCATTTAAAAAAAAATCTAACAAATTATGCAACCAAAGTGTGTCAATTTTTACCTGTGTTTCCCTGCAGAATCTCTCCACACAATAACAGTTTGCTTTTTTGTTTGGAGTCTGTGTTCCTGCATGATGAAATTCTTTTCCTGTAAGTTTGTGCTTGAAACCACCTAAAAAAGGCTTGTGATAAGGACGTCTTTCGATTTCCACCACCACACAGAAATAAGTATCATTATCTGTAAGAAATCAGTGTTACTTGTTGAAACAGAAAACTTTCAAAATGTTTGTCATAAGCAATTGTTTTAATCCAGTATTTTCTCCTCCAATTACCACCTTCAACAATGGTAATCTCTGGATTACTTCCAGTGCCATGTGCGAGCGAGGGTAAGAACAGGCGGATACGGCAGATGAAAGCATGGCTAAAGAATAAGTGCAGGGAGCAGGGATTCAGATTCTTTTTCAAATTCATTTCTGGGGCAGAGATGACTTGTTCAAGAGGGACAGGTTGCACCTGAACTGGGGGGGGACCAATATCCTGGCGGGCAGATTTGCTAGTGCTGCAGGGGAGGGTTGGCAGGACAGTGGGATCCTCAACAGCAGGTAGGCAAGTGTGAGGCTGGAAGGAGATACAGTAATCAGAAATAGCAAACTGAAGAGACAGGTCAGGCTGGAACACAACATGGAGTGAGGAATGCCTGTTGGATTAAATTGCGTCTACTTCAATGCAAGAAGGCTGACAGATAAGGCCGGTGAACTCAGGGTGTGGAAAGGTACATGGGACTGGGATATTATAACCAGTACAGAAACATGGCTGAGGGAGGGACAGGACTGGCAGCTTAATGTGCCAGGGTACAGATGCTTTTGGTGGGGCAGAGGTGGAGGAAAGAGGAGAAAGGGAGTTGTATTTTTGATTAAGGGGAATATCACAGCTGTAGTCAGAGATGGAGTAACTGAGGGATCATCCAGTAAGACTTTGTGGATGGAGCTAAGAAATAAGAAGAGGATGGTGACGTTATTGGGGTTGTACTACAGGCCCCCAAATAGTCAATGGGAATTACAGGAATGAATATGCAGGGAGATTGTGGAGACTTGCAGGAGCAATAGGGTTGTCATAAGTGGGGGATTTAATTTTCTGAACATAGACTGTGACCTCCACCATGTTAAGGGCTTAGATGGGGTGGAATTTGTTAAATTTGTTCAGGAAAGCTTCCTCGAGCAATAGATAGAGGGTCCTACTCGGGAAGGGGCAAAACTCAACCTACTCTTAGGAAATAGGGCAGGACAGGTGACAGTGGGGGAGTACTTTGGGACCAGTGACCATAATACTATTATTTTTAAAACAGTTATGGAGAAGGACAAAACTGGTCCACAAGTTCAAGTTCTAAACTGGGGCAAGGTGAATTTTGATGGAATTAGATGGAAGCTTGCAGGGGTTGATTGGAGTAGTTTGTTTGCAGGCAAAGGAAACTCTGGCAAGTGGGAGGCCTTTAAAAGTGTGATAACTAGAGTTCAAGGTCTGTATGTTCCTGTGAGGTAGAAGGGCAAGGTTGGCAGGAATAGGGAACCCTGGATGACAAGAGATATTGAGGCTTTGACCAGAAAAAAAGGAGGAGGCATGGTTCAGGTACAGGCAGCTCTGATCAAGGGAATCCCTGAAGGTATATAGGGCATAGAGGAGTTTACTGAAGAAGGAAATCAGGAGAGCGAAAAGGGATCACAAGGTAGCTTTGGCTGAGAAGGTTAGGGTGACTCCAGAGAGATTCTTCAAGTATCTTAAAGGAAAAAGAATAACTAGAGAGAGAATAGGACCCCGCAAAGACCAAAGTGGACATGTACGTGTAGAACCGCAAGATACAGGTAAGGTCGTCAGTGAACATTTCTCCTCTGTGTTTACCGCGGAGAAAGACATGAAGACTTGGGAACTTGGAGAGGTTAGTGGCGATACGTTGGGGACAGTCCAGATCACAATAGAGGTGGTGTTGGGCGCATTGGAATGTATGAAGATGGATAAATCTCCTGGCACTGACCAGATATATCCTACAAGATGCTAGTGAAGAAATTGTGGGGGTCCTGGCTGATAAATTTGCATCATCATTAGCCATGGGTGAGGTCCTGGAAGACTGGAGGGTAGTGAATGTTATGCCCTTATTCAAGAAGGGCTGCAAAGAAAAGCGTGGGAATTATGGAACAGTAAGCCTAACATCTGTGGTATGTAAGTTACTTGAGAAGATTCTGAGGGATAAGATATATTTGCAAAGACAGGGTTTGATTAGGAATAGTCAGCAATGGCCTCATGCATGGGAGATCATGCCTCACAAATTTGTTAGAGTTCTTTGATGAAGTGACCAGGAAGGTTGATGAGGTCAGGGCGGTAGATGTAGTCTACATGGATTTCAGTAAGGCCTTTGATAAAGCTCCACATGGTAGGTTGCTGACTGCATTGAATCCAGGGAGAGCTGGGAAACTGGATACACAATTTGCTTGATGGTAGGAAGCAAATAGTATTAGTGTAAGGATGTTTGTTGGACTAGGGGCTTGTTGGACTATAGGTGTGCCAAAGAGGTCAGTGCTGGGCCCATTGCTGTTTGTTATCTATATCAATATTTGGATGAAAATGTACATGGCATGATTAGTAAGTTTGCAGATGATACTAAAATAGGTGGTATCGTGGACATTGAGGAAGGTTATCAGAAATTGCAGCAGCATCTTGATCAGCTGGGGAAGTGGGCCGAGAAATGGTAAATGGAGTTTAAGTGTGAGGTGTTGCATTTTGGAAAGTCAAATCAAGGTAGGGGTTTCATAGTGAATGGTAGGGCCTTCAGGAGTGTAGTGGAACAGAGGGACCTTGGAGTTCAGGTGCTGGTTCTCTGAAAGTGGAGTCATAGGTAGACAAGGCAGTGAAGAAGGCTTTTGGCACACTGGACTTCGTGAGTCAGGGCACTGAGTATAGAAGTTGGGAAGTTATGTTGCAGTTGTACAGGATGTTGGCAAGGCTGCACTTGGAGTATTGTGTTCAGTTTTGATCACCTTGCTATAGGAAAGATATTGTTAAACCAGAAAGAATGCAGAAGAAATTTACAAGGATATTGCCAGGACTGAAGGGACTGAGTTATAGGTGAGGTTGGACAAGCTAGGGCTTTTTTCTTTAAAGCGTAAGAGAGACTGAGGAGGGATCTGATAGAAGTGCATGAGATCATGAGAGGCAATGGTTAGGGTGAATGCAGTAAGTCTTTTTCCCAGGGTTGGGGAATCAGGGACTAGAGGGCATCAGTTTAAGATAAGAGGGGAAAGAGTATATGGGAACCTGAGAGATGACATTTTTTACTCAGAGGGTGGTACGCATATGGAATGAGCTGCTAGGGGAAGTGGTTAAGGCGGGTACATTAATAACATTTAAAAGGCTTTTGGACAAATACATGGATAGGAAAGGTTTAGAAGGATATAGGCTAAGTGCATGGAAATGGGGTTAGTGTGGATGGACATTTTGGTCGGCATGGACCAGTTTGAGCTGAGGGGTCTGCCTCCGTGCTGTAGGACTCTACGATTCTATGACTCTAATCATTTGGTTTGATAATGTTTGTATACGAGACTTTATGAATGCTTAAATGACATCATATATTCTTGTTTTAATTGTAATAAATACTTGACTATAAACGAGGAAACATTTGTTCATAAGCTGAAGTAATGAAATGCAACCCCCAAGTCTTTCAATCCACCCACCCTATCCCTGTAACCCCACATTTACCATGGCTAATCCACCCAAGCTACACATCTTTGGACTGTGGGTGGAAACCAGAGCATCCGGTGGAAACCCATGCACACACGGGAAGAACATGCAAACTCCCCATAGACATCACCCAAGGCTGGAAGCAAACCCAAGTCCCTGGCATTGTGAGACAGCAGTGCTTTTGTAATTTATGCACAACGACTCACAAATCACTCTGTGTTGTAGCTTTCTGCAGTCTTTCTCCAGTTAACTAATAGTTGAGACTAAAAGTTTAGTGATTGATAAATTGCAGGTATAAGTCTATCTTCTCCTATTCCTCCATTCAGCATGCTAGTACACTAAAACAGCATAAATAAATTTACTGATTTACTCAAAGACCTCAATATATCATTGTGAAACAATGTGCGGACAACTAATGCCCTAGGACTCTTATCCCCAAAATCTGTTTTTAATTTCATCTAGAACAGACATTTATGAGCGAATAACATGAGTCAACAGCTTCATTTGTCTTGAATGGAAATGGAGCCAACAGATCATCATAATTTTCAACTCTTTGCATGAAAATGTCACTAACCTTTGTACTTAAAATGAGGCCTAGCAGCAGAATGCCTCTCTATGTGCATCAGGCATCAAGTAAACGCAAGAACTAATCACAAGTTACACACATCTCATATTTAAAAATGAAAAAGGTCAAGAATTGATAAAAAGGGTCAAAAGTTAAAGATAAAAGATCCATATTGCGCTTTAATTTTCTCCATAATTCTAATGCATCATTTAACAGTAATTGCTGTAGATCTGTGCATTCTTGGACAAATCTGAATGGATTTATCATCGTATCTGATATTCATGGGATGGTGCATATGCAATACCTTTTTGAATGGTGACAGTTATCACATCAGATGTGGTAGATTCCTGCTGTGGCCTAATTAGTTTGATTGGGTGGTTTTCAGGATCAACAGATGTCAGTTCCAGCTGGATAGAGCCATGTGGTCTGACTCCTAAATCAACCAGTGTTTCAGAATCCTTGGCTATTTTGCCTAAAACATAAGATAAAAATATTAATTCATCAACACTCAATGTTCATTAGAAATTTTCTGATCCATTCATTCAACATTAAAATAGTAGACTTCATGATGTAATAAAAAATGCAACCCATTCTTCACAATATTTTCAAAAATATATTGTTTTAACAATAACATGTATCTATACAGCATCTGTAATGTAATAAAACACCCCTTTGCACTTTACATGAGCATTGTAAAGCAAAATTTACAAGTTACAGAATATTGATATAGGCAAGACTCATCATAAGTACACTAAACAAATCAACAGGGCTTGCTGAACTTTATAATAGAAATCACCTGCATCTGAACTGAAACAATCCGATATAAATTTATACATAAACTGCAGTGAGGATTTGGATCTGCAGTTTCATTAATTTATTAGAGGTAAGGAGCTCCAAATCAATCAGCACTAAGTAAATTCAAAATTATGGCTACAAAAGACTTTAGGCAAAATTTTCCCATTTTTAGTCAGAATGGGGTATGCTAGACGGTTACTCACATGCCAGCTCCCAATACAAATTAACTTGACCTATCATGTGGTAATCAGTTCATTAAGAGTGTAGGTGGGTTTCTCGGGCCATCACAGCCCTCGTCACTGGCATCCTGGATTGCCTGAAGCTGCTGGACAAACAGAGGCAGAGAGCTTCTGGGATTTGAGTACCTTCAGTCCAGGCATAAGCCTTGGGTAATCCAGCAGTGAGAAGATAAATGGCTTTATCTGAAGAAGGGTAATACCCAAAACGTTGACTTCTCTTTTCCTCCAGATGCTGCCTGGCTTGCTGTGTTCTTCCAGCCTCCTGTTTGTCGACCTGGGATTCCAGCAACTGCAGGTTTTTTGTCTTCTTTATCTTATTGCAGGGTCAGGCTGCAGGGAAAGGGGCATCAAAGGCAAGGGCAGAGGTCTGCCTTTCAGAGGCCACTGTTTTGTCCCCAATCCACTCAAAACCAGCAATCAGGCCACCCGTGGGAAACTTTCCCACCCAATGGGAAGACAGGTAATCAAAAAGGTGATCAGGAGTTATGACACTTAATTGTCCATTAATTGACTACTTAAATGTCTTAATTACTGGGAAATTGAGCAAGTTCCAAAAGGACTTCTACTTCAGTGAGGTGGCAAGGAGGGTTGGGCATCTCATCAAACAGATTTGCCCAATTAATTCCCCTTCTCACCACTTCTCTCACCGTGACCACGAAGGGAAGAATTTCTGTCCATTAATTCCACTATCCTATGATCCTCCTTTGCGATCATGACAATAGATTTACGTTATGCCAGCTACTAATGTGCCTGACCCTGTTAGAATTCAATGGGTTAGTACTAGCCAGGATAATTGAAAGCTACAGATCTCTTTTAAGACTAGCTACAGTAAGGAAACTGATTTTAAAAAATCTTATGGGCCCCACTTTAAAACGATTGTGTCAACAGTCACAATCACCGTTTGCAGCCACATGACATGTTGGTGGCACTACAGGCGAGACTCACCCAAGATGTTACCTTGTTAATCAATTTTCATCTGCTTCTTCAGGCTGTAAAGTAGTGAATGTAACAGCTGCATATCTATGCTAGAAAGCCCCAGTACATCTAGTAAACGATGAAGATCCAGTATAAGTAGGTAACATTCTGAAACAAAGCCTTGTACTAACAATAGTCCAAATCCACCAAAATGACTGTAACATCCATTTCACTTGGCATTTCACGTCAAGTTCATTCAATTTGGCTTGACTCGATCTGTACTTCTGGACAGAAACACCTTATAAAAAGTTACAAGGGTGGTAGGGGTGGATGGAAAGGGACAGAATAACTCCCGCATTTATTAGCATCTTACCAGAGGTGGAGGGGTTACAGTTATGTACCCACACTTAAAGGGTTAGGGTTTTAACCAGTCGTCTTCAAAAGGTATAGTTATTGACCTGTTAGAGGCATTAAGAAAATGGAAGATTGACCTGTGAGATGTACGTGAGAGAGTAGAGATCTAAAGTAAGCACAAAAAGAATTGAGTGGGCAGATAAGCAAATCATTACATTGTGTGTGATTAGAATGTAGAACTCTCTTCTACAATTTTGTTCCAGCAGAATCCATAAGTACTTTCAAAAAGGAAATTGTTTGAAATAGCGTAATACTTAGAACATTTGGAGGGGAAGCAATTTCCAACACAAGGTGCCTTATGTTAATAAAAACAATGGGACCAAGCTGATTGACAAAATGACCAACTGCCAGGCTGGAAGATTTCACGGCCAACAATGCCTTAGATTGCATTTCAGTAAACATGCATGTCATTTATCTCATATTGTCAAAAAGTTTCTTTACTTATTTCAGGCTTACTGTCACATGTTATTTCCAGTTTATTTGCTGGTACTTTCAACTCTTTTCCAAATCGCGCTTTTAGCTTCCCTGTTGTAAGGCAGATGGGAAGTGCCACGGTCATAACATCACCAGTAGGAAGTAGGGCAACTTTGACTAAATTAAAAAACACAATAAATTAGTTTGAACATGAAAATAAACCTAGTAATATTCTACTGAATTAACATTCGAGTCATTTATTTACAGTCACTATTTATATTATAGCCTGTTAGTTTTTAAAAAAACCTGTAAAGCAACGTTCCCTCCCCAAAAACTGTATATTTGAGGAAGACATTTGATTCCAGACTTAAAATTAACTGGAAAGGCAAATTTGTAGAATTCAAAATCATTCTGCTTCTGTACAATACAATGTTTATGAATATTTAGCAGTTTTCTGCAAATTTAAAGTTTGGTAAGTTCTTCAAACCATGAAATGCCATCCAATAGTCAAACACTGGTTAACATTGTGAAATACAGTTAACACTCTTGCTGTCAAGTCAGTTAATCAGGTAAACCATAAACCGAAACACATACAACGATATATTTCTGATATTTCAGCACTGGGAACAACACTCTGGGAGTCAGTACCTGTGGCTGTACTACTTGCAATGTCTGGTGGTGGGGTCTTTGGTAGCGGAGGATATGCCTGTAGTACTGATCTCTTTTTTAAGTCTCTGTCAGCAGCAGTTGGTGGAGTTCGATAAACCAAGCACTCAGTAGCATCTTACCAGCAAAAGGAAAACAGGAAAATAAATGTAAAACTTAAAGGTGTGAAGAAATTTCAAGCTGGTATAACACAGTGACACCGGCTTCCTTCATTAATATCCTATCAGTTTGTGTATCTAGAGATTGGTAGAGCTGGCATGTTTGCAATGATTAATTTACACGTTTCTGTTCAAATACCGAAACGCACAAACCATCAAAATTTCATCATATTTGCTTCTATTGTAATCTCTCCTGTTTTATGAAGGATGCGTATTAGCTACAGTCAACTCCTCGCTGGGATGCACACTAGTAACCAGTTTCGGTGCCTGATTCTTGAATGAAAGCTTTGTTTTGCTTCTTCAGGAGAGATCATGCCATACCTTCTGCTAACCTTACCACATTTTCTCACTGTGATTACTGTAAATCCCAACAGAACAAGGAATTATAGCAGGAACTTCATGATTCTTAAGCCAGTACAATGAGTTCAATTGTAGTGCTCTCACCATTGGTTTGACTGAGATAACTAAATCAGGAGAAACGTGGGGAGAAAACTTAGAATCACTGTAACACTCAAATACTCATTGAATAAACTTGCAGATGAGTCCGGCAGACCATTTTTTGCCTTCTTAATCTTATAAACAATTAAATGCTCATGATTAGGAACAACCACCAAAAAAATTTTGAGATTTAATAATTGCTTATTAGTTTATCCTGAAGTCTATGTCATTATATGGTAGGGTCTGGTAGGGATGCAGAGGTCAAATGGACTGGCGATAGTTATAAATTAATTAGGTGAGAACTTGATTAGGTGCATTTCAGCCCATAATCATTCCAGATTATAGGCAACCCAGAGGTTTAGGGAGCTTGATAAGGTAGATGTGGAAAAATTGTTCCCCCTTTTGGGGTGGACCAGAGGGAAAAATCTCAGAGAAGGCCTCACTATTTAAGACAGACAGTGTAGACTTGATGGAATTTTTTACCACGGAGGGCTGCAGAGGCCATGTCATTAAATATATTCAAGCCTGAAATATACAGGTATTTATTCTGTAAGGGAATCAAAGGTCATGGGGAAAAGGCAAGAAAGTGGATGTGAGGTTTATCAGATCAGCTATGATCTCATTGAATGGTGGAGAAGACTTGAAGGGCCGAATGACCTACTTCTGCTTCTAGTTTTACACTCTTATATGGGGAAGGGGTCTTATGACACAGTTGTACTATCCCTACCTCTGGACCATACCAGAAACACATTGTAACATTTCCATTTCAAGCTGATTAAAAGAAATAGGTGTTGGAATAAAACTGACCACAATGACTAGATTCTGTCTATACAACATTTTAAACTTGGTTTTAACATTGGTAACAGTGGATTTAGCTGTTTGTAAGTCAATGATTAAAAATAAAGCATTATTCTAACCAAAGAATGATTTACACAAAACTTCCTAGAGATGGCTGAGTCAAAATCTAAAGCACTGACGTGTTGGCGGCAGGATCGGGGTAGTTATGATTATGTGCTCAACCTAATCATTTTATAATATGGGAACAAATAAGCATGGCTGTTGAAGTTGATGATGTTCAAGTTGGAATAAAACTCTAACCATAAAAGCACAGGCCTGGATTCTGTCTGACCAACATTTTAACCTCTGGTTTTATTGGTGGACACAAGGAAATCACTATTAGATGCGAAACTGGCCAATTCAGATGCGTTACTCAGCCTCTCCTCCCACTTGCACCACACATAAAGCCTGGCTGCTATGTTATTCCAATAGAACAGAACTAGTTTTAAAAATGCAGACATTTTGACAAACACCTCACTGATCACTTTCTACCAATGGTCAACTATGAAGTGCAGGTGAACCAAGTGTTGACTGTATACGGTAATAGTCTAAAGTTAAATCATTTACACAAATTCCAACCATTCATGTTTTTAAACAATGATATCCTTTGAATCAAGAGACTCAGATTAAATGTTCCATCCTGGGACTAGCTTTTAGATGATTTCTAATTACTGTAGCAATTAGCAATCCAGCAAAAAAAAGCACAGAACAGTTTAAACAAATCTGTTATTTTTAAAAAACTCTAATCTGGTCAAGTGAAGTTGTTGTGTGGAATGAGAGGAAATTGGTTTAGACCAATGACCAACAGGACAAACGAACAAAAAAAATCAGTTTGATAATTCTGCTCCCAGTGATCTAATATAGAATCGACATTGTATCTGCCAACTACATTCACTCTAAAATGGTTTGGGTTTTTGCTAGTTCTAAAAAGCATTTCAAAACATGATAATAAAACTAACCAATTTAACATTATTTTGGTGGTTAATAAGCTGCAAGTTAAAACACTTTGCGTATCAGATTTACCTGTTCCTTTGGAAACCAGTGTTTCACTAGTCTTTTCCGGTTCAATTTTACCATGCACTGCCGCAATGGCAGCTATCTGTGCTTCTAGTTTCTCCCTTAACTCGTCACAAGATATTGCAGGTTCAGTTTCTGGTTCTTCTGCTGAGTAAAATAGAAAGTGAGAAATAAACATACCTTAAATGAAAATAACAAAAGGAAGGCAAAGTCAATATTTGCTGATGTGACTAACATGAGAAACATGGACAAATACAGGAAAATCAAAGCAATCCAGGAATTTGATGTGTTCATCCTAATAAACTGGGTTTAATATAAAAGAGCAAACTAAGTCCATGGGTCTTTCAATTCTCATCCCCACAAATAATAATGCACACCCATGTTTTCCAATCCTACCATCTCTATTTATTTCTAATAACCTAACCACATTAAGTCCAAGCTCTTACTTAAATTAAAAAAAAAGATATTATCTGTTTAGGGCCTGTATTTCTCTAAAGTAAATAGGCCTAAACCTAGCTGTAGAACCAATTCTGGTCATTCCCCTCTGCAGCTTTATCGAAGCTTGAAAATCCACATTTTACCATTCTAGGATGTGTATTTACGTGCCCCACAAAACAGAGGTAAGATACCCAAAAAAAATAGTGTTGATATCATTCAGGCTGACCTCCAAATCTGGTGTTTGGAAGCCACCTGCCTCAGACCAACTGGGTGAAAGTCAGGGAGACACGAATGTTTTCACAGATAAGGTTAAAGACTGATCAGAGTTGAAAAGGTTTACTCCTTTGAAGAAAAAGTTGCAGTAGCCCATTACTGGAGAGGAGAAGAATCAGCATGAAAATTCTGTCAGTTCAAGAGGTCATCATTCAATTGGCATTGTACGACAAAGCGCACTAAGCAAGATTATTGGACTCCACACGGAGGTGCTTCTGCTGCAATAACAAAGTAGCCTCATCTTGCAACCCTCTGGGAAGAGAACTTCCCTCCTCTCATTCACGGCCTCCAGCAACAGATCCAGGTCAGTGGCGATAAACTTATTGTCAGCCTTGAGTGCAAGGTCTCCAGTTCCTATGAGCTATTTCATTTCTTTGTGTGTAGTGGAAAACATTGATACAAAACCATAGATATCTTCCTCAGGACAACCAGTGGTCTCACAGAAGGCTGCCAATGGGGTGTCTAAATGAGTCCCACATTTCATCTCATCCATTTTTATTTCTGATTACACTGCCTCGAATTGAACAGAAAATCCACCTCCACATCAATTAAGGACTAATGTCCAAAAATGTCTGAATTTCAGTCAGTTTCCTAATGGAGGTAGGTTTCTGACATAGACACAAAGAACTCCTATTCCCACCGCTGTGGATCTTGCAAAGGCATCGCTGGTGGTACTTTTCCAGTGCTTTGAGATACTTACTGCAGGTTATTCAAGTGGAGTCACTGTTGCCTGGTAAACTATGGCTTTCGTCTCAGGTTTGAGGTTCTGGCCCTCTAGTACTTTTATCCTCAGTTGGTTAAAGGTTGAGCTGTCCCAGTGGCAATTATGAATTTCGTCTTATATGTCTGATGCTCTTGAACAGAATTTCCCAAGATATGGAAAATGGTTCACATTTTCCAGGATCTCATTCCAAGCGGCTAATTGAACATCATTTGAAGTTTTACACTCTAATGTATTTGAATCATTCCTGGCATGTTGACAAACCTGGCTAGACAAGCATTTATCACCCATTCCTAAATGCCCTTCAGTAGGTCATGGTGAACTACCTTTTTGATTTTTTGCAGTCCTTGGCAAAGGTATACCCACAATGCTGTTAAGGAGGGAGATCCAGAATGCTGACACACAATCAGTGAAAGAACATAGACACATTTCCAAATTAGATAATGTGTGGCTCGGAGGTGAACTTGCAGGTAATGGCATTCTCATACATCTGCTACCCTTGTCCTTCTATGTGGTTGAGGTCTCATGTTTATTCATAGAACTCATAGAATCCCTACAGTGTGGAAACAGGCCCTTTGGCCCAACAAGTCCACACCGACCCTCAGAGCATCCCACCCAGACCCATCCCCCTATAACCCACCTAATCGACACATCCCTGAGCGCTATGGACAATTTAGCATGGCCAATCCAACAAGCGTGCACATCTTGGACTGTGGGAGGAAACCGGAGCACCCGGAGGAAACCCACGCAGACACGGGGAGAATGTGCAAACTCCACACAGACAGTCGCCCAAGGGTGGAATCAAACCCGGGTCCCTGGTGTTGTGAGGCAGCAGTGCTAACCACTGAGCCACTGTGCCGCCCCAAAATCCTAATTTTGCAGACTTTGGTTCCCTTTTACAAAGCATTTTTTACAAAGCATGAAGGCATATATAAATTAATCTGGCAATACTTCAGCTTTCCAGCTACTGGAGGTCATCTTGTTCATTCAATGTGGCCAAATCAAATAAGCATGTCAAGTCCATTTAATAGCATCACTTAGATAGCATTGAAACAAATAACCAATTAATCTGGAAGTTTTTTTGGTGCTGTTTGTTGGGAATGTGATGTTAACATAGACACTGAGAAAATCACTGTTCTTCAAAGATGCTCTGGAATCTTTAAAGTCCACTTGAACCAATCTACATACTGATGAAGCAGTTAATGCTGGGTGGGAAGGAATAATGGAAAAATATAAATCAATATTTTACATGAGTGATAAACCACAGCTGTATAGTAACTGTACAATGACTAAGATGCTCACTGCAGACAATGGTTTATAAAATTCACTTACAAATTTCAGCTAAAAATTTGAACTGTGGCATATTGTATATACTTGTGATAAAATTCAATCTCCATGTAAAAGTTCATCCCATGATTTTTAGCCTTAATGAAACATATACCTCATGTAAAAGTCGATCATAGCCTTTCAGGGATGAAAGCATGAAAAGTTCAGAATCAAAGGTTACACGAAGTTGGGAAGTGAGAAGCAATTGCTTTAAATGCTTGGGCTACAATTGAGAAAGCAAGAGTAAAACTAATGAAATACTTCTTAATATGAATAGGAATAGCAAAAAATTAATCCAGCAATTAGAATAGTTACAGAAATAATTACAGTGATAGTAGCTGAGATTATATTGGATTTATTTTCTTTGTTAAAATGGAAAGAATATTGTTTGGAATTCACTGCAAATTACTGATATATCACTCAAAAACAATAGCAAAGGAAGGATGTCTTTATAAAATGCAGTACAAATGCAATAGCTGCCTTGGGTTTCTTTCAGCTATATATAATTAAAAATATTAAGCAAAGGATCAGATTTGAAAGGTTTATTTGATAAACTTCGACTACCTTTTATAATAGGTTAAAAGCTACTTAAATTTATTTGGCAATGCCTCAGCTCCCTACCTATTCAAGGTCATCTTGCCCATTCAATGTGGCCCAAATCAACCATGCATGTGAAAAACATTACCCGTATAAAAGTCAATCCCATGACTTTTGATAGATTGTTTGAAAAAATTCAACTTTTACATGAGTGCATAGGGTGATACAGTAATTCTTTATGAAAATATACAAATAATATCCCAGACGTATTACTGAAGAAAGAGATGTAAAGCACCATGTAACTAGCTGGCATTTATGTGTTAAATCCTAGAAAAAGTCTGTTTGTTCAGCTCTCTCTTGATTTTTAGGCATTAGTTCTAATCTTCAAATAAAGTAATCTACTTAACTGCTCACAGTCCTTTGTGTGATTGGCAAATTTGCATGCAGAAAACAAGTAACACAACATAAAGTAGCTAAACAGCTCAACAATAGATTGCTACACATTAGCATTTACCTTCTGGACACTCATTTGAGACAAATGGTGTGGGGCTTTCTGTTGTAGCACATTTAGAACAGTCCAAAACTAGTGTGTCTGTTTTCACTGTCATATCTATTTCGGGAATGCAACAGAAAAAAACGTTGTGAAAACATTAATTCAAAATAAATGCTAATCAGCTAAATTGTTGTCCCAACATAGCAAACCAATGTGACGGGACGTCATGGACACATTTTCCTTTCTTCACAAAATTCTATATCTGCTAAGCATTTCATCTCATTTGGGCGAGCTGCAGGAGGGAATTTGAAATGAAATGCTCCTTTGAAGGAAAGGAGGGAAAATTGATATGTGAACTACATTGTGCCATTCCTGCACAATATTTAAGGAATGGATTTATGTCAAATGCAGGTTTAAAATCAACAAGATAAGTGTACATGGCTAAAGTGGAATTACTTTATGCACAGGGGAAAACATAAATCAGCAAATCATCAAAATATTGCATAAATGAAACCACTGTGGTCAATGTATGAAAACTGAGCACTTGAAACAGTTTGAAAAAAGCAGAACTAACATTCGTATTTGAAAACCTGCAATCAGGATGTGCCAAAGCTGTTTGTGGGGAGAGGGAGGAAACAATTTTATAACCTATAAAACCATCTGGAAAAGTCAATTTTAAAAATGTGTTGATAATTTTACTCTCTGACACTTCAACCATCTGAATCGAGAGGAGACTTGGGAACAAGACAGCTATATATGTACATTAGTTATAATGAATTTTATAAATACATTAAAAGGATGAGGTTAACCAGGGAAAGAGTATGGTCCATTAGGGACGAAGGGGGCAACCTGTGTATGAAGCTGCAGGATATAGGAAGGGTGTTGAATGAATATTTCTCTTCGGTCTTCACACTGGAAAAGGAGAATGTAGGTACTGAATTCAGGAAAAGGGACTGTGAGGAACTTGCACAGTTTGACATAGGAAATGGGGAGATATTGGAGGCTCTGTCGAGCTTAAAAACAGACAAACATCCTGGCCCAGATGAATTGCATTCCAGGCTGCTGTGGAAAGTGAGGCAGGAAATTGCAGGGCCTCTGACACTAATTTTTAATTCCTCTCAGGTCACAGGGGAAGTACCAGAGGACTGGAGGACAGCTAATGTGGTTTCACTTTTTAAGAGGGATGGTAGAAGTGAACCAGGAAATTACAGACCGGTGAGTCTCACATCAGTGGTAGGGAAGCTATTGGAGAAAATTCTGAAGAAGCAAAATAATACCCACTGGGAAAGGCAGGGGTTAATTAAGGATAGTCAGCATGGCTTTGTCCTGCCTAACAGATTTGTTACAATTTTTTTGAAAATGTGCTCAATGTGTGGATGAAAAAATTCGGTTAATGTAGTTTATGCGGATTTTAGCAAAGTTTTTGACAAGGTCCCATATGGAAGACTGAGTGTGAGGGATAAAGCACAAGGAATTACAGGAAACTTGGCAAGATGGATCACCGTCTGGCTTAGTAATAGGACATAAAGGGTAGTGATAGAAGGCTAAATAAAAACTGAAAGAACTGCCAATGCTGCAAATCAGAATCAAAAACAGAAGTTGTTAGAAAAGTTCAGTAGGTCTGGCAGCATCTGTAAAGAGAAATCAAAGTTAACATTGACACTTCCTCAACCTTTTAAAAAAAATTTGGATGATTACTTCAAATATCATAACATTCAAGGATATGGGACATGTGTAAGAAATTGGGATTAGCACACTTTTAATGGTAATTAAGCCGATGCAGACTTGATGGGCTGAAGGGCCTTTTCTGTGCTGTATGAATCGATGAATCTATATATAGTATATAAATTAGAAAACAGTGTGTGTGATGTCCAGTTCAAAAAATAAGATGTTTCAAGGAACTGAAAACTTATATTTATTTAGCACCACTATGATAATAAAATTTCTCAAAGTGCTAAATAAACCACAAGAAAAATCAAAGAAAAGTATCAAAAAATAATAATCCATCTAAAATATATGTTATAATCTTGAGGTTTTGCAACTATTTTGAAAAATAACCATTAGAACTGAGGAATTCACATTCATTTTGCACATATATGAATGGTATCACAAAATACAAGCGATCCAGTTAGTCATCTTTACCTCTTACTTCAGAACTTGGAGTAAGATGTAGAAATTTGTGCCACATTATTCGTGGGGTGACAGTAGTGGAGCAACGGAGATGTGATGGCGCAGGCCCTCGTTTAAATTTCTTGGACACTTCTTCCCAACTCAGTGACACCAGATTAAAATGCTTAAACACGGATGTTTCTGGGCAGTAGGTTTATTGCCTGCACTTCACTATGCCTTCGATAAAAGTAGTGCTCTGGGGGTGGGTGGATTGGGTTTCCCTTTTTGAATGCAAACTATTCCCCTTACCTGATCATTATAGAGGTTCAAATCTTGCCTCCATCGTTTTCTGCTGGTTCCCCTTTAACATGCACTTGATATAACATGATAACAAGTATGTGTGTTTCTGTTTGCATGCTGAATAATTTGAATATTGTAGAACATTCAATTACTGAATGTTCTTTAGAGTAAAATAGCAGGAAAGGTAATAAGATGGTTTCAGTTAAAACCAACAGAACAAAGCATTGACCATAGTAACCTGAGTAACCTGAACACAGAGTAACTAGGGCAATCAGGAGCATAGTATGTTTATTCTATCACGTGAGCTCACAGATAAGTAAATATATCAAAGGGACAAATAAAGACCATGGGCATCCATCAAGCCTTATTATACAGATTCTTCTGATTCTACAATCCCTATTCATCCTAAATAATCTAACTGCACTAAATCTAATCCTTTCAACATTTTAAAGCTTCAAATCATATCTGCTCCAAGCCCTTTTTACAAACCTTAAAAACCTTTGTCTAAAATCTTATCTAAAAACTTAAGAATATAAATTAATTCATGGCATGTTGTGTCATTGCTGGCTACGCCAGTATTTATTACCCACCTCTAATTATCCGAGCGAAGTTAAGAGTCAACCACTCTGCTATGGATCTGGAGTCACATGAAGGCAAGACCAGGTAAGGTAGGCAGATTTCCCTTCCCTGAAGGGAACCAGATGGGTTTTTTATGAAAATTATTGGCGTTTTCACTTTAAGTCCAGATCTTTATTGAATTCAAAGTTCACCATCCACCATGGTGGGATTTGAAGCTTTGTCCCCAGAACATCAGCTTGGTCCTCTGGATTACTAGCCCAATTACTATTAGGCCAATGCCTCCCCTTAAATGAATGAATCATACTGTCATATGGCCAATGCAAGCACAGTAACTCACCACACAGCAACATTTTACAAACAGCCTTGAAATGTATAATAAATTAATCTGTTTCTGGTTGCCAAAATAGTTGAGAGTGGCAATGTCACTGAAAACTCACTCAGAAATTGCAATAAAATCTTTCCAAACCATTTGGAAAAATAATTGGCAAAAAAGAAAACTATGTCATATACTTTATGTTTTGAAGAAATGACGAAATAGAACAATAGTGACTGAATAAGAGTAGTTCACTATAGATTCAAGCGCACAATTCTTATAAACTTGGTTAATAATTGAAAATGTAATAAAATTGAAAAAGGTAAAAACATTTTGCTATCAAGTAAAATGGTACATTACCTTCTGACTTCATATTTGATTGCTCAGACTCAGCTTCTAAAGAGTTTTCTGTTCCAATTTTGGTACAGTCAACAGTTATAAGCCCTTCTCTTGCCATCTCTTTATTTGCGTTCATTGGTTTAGAGCAGTTCAAAGAGGAAACAGAAGAGGTCAAACGAAAATGTTACTTACAAATAAATATTGATTAGGCACACTGCTGTTTGAATACAGTAGATATTTATGAACTGGAAAATCCATTGCAAACTAATGTGAAATGGTACTTAATTGGCCTGTAAATCATTTCTCCTATACTCCACATCCAAGAAACTTTTAAAACTCTTTTGGGTGTTATCTGTCACAGCCAAATAGAGACCAGTTTTTTTTTGATTTAGAAGAAAGGTGGGAACATCAAGAAGTCAATGAACTTGTACCATTCTTGCATACGACTTGGGGAATAGCTTCATGGCAAGTGGATACCTGACAAGAGAATGTTACATGTTTTTTGTCAAATGTAAAATCCCTTCTATCCCTTGAAGTTGTTCTACTATTCAATCAGATCAGAACTGATCTGTATTATCTCCTTATCATTGGGAAGATTAGTCTCTCCCCATCATTGGGAAGATTAGTAAGGAAACTAACATTTCTTGATACACTTTAGTTTAGTCATAAACACAGAATTAAAGTACATTCATTGATCTATACAATATTGTAATACTCTGTTTAAGTAGAGCCAATAAAGGTTTTATTACTGTAAAATCATGTGACTGCTTAGCCTCATTTGCTAAAAATGTGCCATGGGATTGCAAACAGGGTAAAGACAATAACCTAATATGTTGACCTACAGCTGCAAGCATCAGGGTTCTGTTAAGTTTCAGATCCAGACTTCTTTGTTTCAATAAGACAGAAACAGTATTCTTCTGGCTTATTAGCCCTTTCTCAAAAAATCCTTGTATTCATGTATTAGAAGTATAACAATTGTATTAGAGCTAACTTTGTAACAATGGATTTTAGTTTGCATCTGTATAATCATTTAGACAGTAACATACCCTTTACAACAATTTGCAAGAAACTGCTTCATTCTGTATTAACTCGGCCTTTAAAGTAAAAGGTGACACAAACTGTTTCTAAACATTCAAACACAACATAGTCAAAATCAATTAGAACAAATTACTCCAAGGGGAAAAAAGTAAACAGCAATAAGTAAGTGTCTGATTTATTGGAGACTTCACCAAATTAAGAAACCTTGAGACATAAGCTCAAGGGTATCAATCATTGAGTCGTGGTTGCAAATGCTTCCTTTTTCAAGACTATAAATTTCAAATGAACAAATTCATAGCGGTATTTGAGTTTGAATTATAAGACTTCTAAAAACTTACAAAATTGGTGACCCTGACCTAATTGAGACTGTACAGGAACACATGGTGTTTGTAACAAAGGAACTTAGCAAATATGCCAGGCTAACAGTACCATTGAAAATGTGAAAGGTAAAAGATGTGGGATCATTGAGAACCCACCAGTGACTCTGACACTGATATTGGCACTGAGACTCAGTTACTGATAAGGATGTCAGTTAAAATGGTTTCTTCTCACTAACAAGTTAGGCTGGACAAGATGACTAGCAAAGAAGTCTAAACACTGTTCACAAAGTGGTTGGAGAAAGGGGACTGGGTCCTATTTTAAAGAGATAGTTGAGTTTGTCCATATATGGAATTCACCGGCATCCCTTCTACTCACACCATCCTCAAAAAATCATTACGCATCCAGACAAGTCTGGAGCTGCCCTGCACTGTTTTTGACATTTTGTCCTTGACATGGCAGATGGGGGAAACAGGTGTCTCATTTTGAGCGCAGTGACCTGGAGGTCCTTCTAGTTGGGGTGGTGCAAAGACAGAACTTCCACTTCCTCAAGGATCAATACTAGAGGTCACAACACCAGACCATGCCAGCCTGGCACCTGGGTTGGTACAGTCTTAGCTATTCAGAGGAATGCACAACACTGTAGGATGTTCAATGACCTTCTCCACTTTGCCAGCGTTAACTGTTACCATCTTTGATCCCTCACACTCACTCCACCTCTGCTACTCTACTGACCTCCCAATAAGGCGCATGCTCTACGACTATCATTAATGCCTGCAATATATGCCCTCAGTCACTCTCATCAACCCCAAAATGACTAATGCTGCTTGGCTCAGCACTGCCTAATCACTTACCCAGGACCCAGCCTGCCAGCACCAAAAGTAATAGTTGTATTACCAACTTACATCTCCCTTAAAAATTATATCTCTCTCTCTGTCTCATTCTCCCTCCCTCTCTCATTTCAGGAGGAAAACAGACCACAATAAGAAAGATTCAGTCAAGTGGCAGGGTGCCTGACATTCAGCTCCTCAGCTCTTATGTGCAGAACACCCTGACTTTTTCTTTATTCTTTCATGAGATGAGGGCATTGCTGGCTAGGCAAGCATTTATTGCCCAATCCAGAAGACATTTATGAGTCAACCACATTGCTGGAGTCACATGTAGTCCAGCTCAGGTGAGGATGGCTGTTTCCTTCCCTAAAAGACATTAGTGAACTAGATGAGTTTTTCCTGACCATTGATAATGGTTTCACTGTCATCATTAGACTCTTAATTCCCAACTGTCATTGAATTCATTGTGTTGGGCCCCTGAGCAAAGGTTATCTCCCTTGACTTGACTGAGACATGCTGACAATCATGACAAGCTTCCTTCCTTTATGTCAGCGCTAAATGGCAAGGCAAGACAGAAGTAATAAGGAAAAGTTTTTCAAAGTAGGAATTTTGTGGGCATCTATGTAGGCTCAGAGTGACTGTGCATTCTGACAATGAGCAAAGAGCCCAAAGAGACACAGCTTGATCCAGTCCACGAGTGAGTTGGGCGCATGTCACTGTGCTGTACATTATAATGATAGCTGCTGTTGCTCCCCAAGACGCCATATTGAAGTGCAGAAGCATCCTGTAAGTGGTTTGGCAACGTCTCAGAAGCTTCTTAGAAGCTGGAACATGTTAGATGCCAGTGTCTGTGAATATAGAATGTGGCTTGTGCCCATTGAGCACACCCTGAGATGTTGGTGCCCAGCATCCAACATGAGGTCCTTTGGAGCAAGAGGTGAGCTGCATTCACCAGACTTGGGTTCCATGTTAAGTTTTCTTGACGTCTTGCTTGTTTAGTACATTTGATAAAATAGAAAGCTGAAGGGTAATGAGGTGCGCTACACCATCAACAAGATATTTAACAAGCTTTAATCACAGTCAATAGACAAATTATTGCTGCCTAGTGAGAATCTTGCTACAGCATTCATAAAAAGCATTATGATGGATCGAGATGCTCCAAATGTCAAGATAAGCCTTGCCAAACATCTCATAGGATTCTGCCACTAAAGCCAACTTCATTCAGACCCCTGTAAGATGCTGCACATATTACAATCTGTAAAAATGTCAAATTACCTGGTTTGCTCATGTCAGCACCACCTGCTGATGCTGTGTCTTCTGTTGTAACATCCTTTTCTACCACCGTTTCAACAGCTGTGACTTCACCTACAGGATTTTCCCCAACATTTTGTTCTGGGGATTCAAGACCTTCTTCTGCTCCAAATGAGTGAGATCAATTAGGTTGCAATATAAATAGAATAAATGCTTGACCATTGAAAGTCATTGAGATAAAACATGATCTAACTAAATAAATTGCATCCTGAGTTATTGAGCATGTTATCACAAAAAATTTACAAGATTATACACTTCCCTATAGAATTGAAGAATTCATATGTGTACATATGTGTAGAAGTCTCATCTTACTGATTTCTCACCTAAAGTAGAGGCAAAAGAATCAGCTGGATTTACATTTGTGCACATCTTACTTTCCAACTACAAGAACAAAGCAAGTGACCCTGCTTTAATGTAAGTTAAGAGACAGAATGCCTATCCCTATTTCTTCTACTTTTATCCTTCTTACTGGCCCTTGCAGCACCAGTTCCTTGTCATTCTTTTTGCCCTACCTTTAAGCTTCTTGGAATGCTTTTGGATGGGGGAGGTAGAAGGCAGGGAAGTGAATAGTATAACAATACCAATTTTAAAAAACCTATCATACAAAAAATTAGTGTGAACAGTTAATGGGCATACACAACCAAATTGAGTATTCTGAAGGTATCTTTGCCAGACTCCCCACCCTACAATTTTCAGAGATTCCAGGACTTCTCAGCTTGTGCTTCCTACTGCACTGAGGCCCACACACCCATCACTCTCATGCCGTCATAGTTCTCTGTGATTCTAAAATTTCGGAATCTTTTGTGCCACCAATACAATTTGAGCAAAATTCACACATGGTAAATCACCACATCTCCATGTCTCTTTACCTGAAGCTTTACAAGATATATATTCCTACCATATCTTCTTCCTTAAAATAAAACAAAGAACTACGAATGCTGGAAATCTGAAACGAAAACAGAAATTGCTGAAGAAACTCAGCAGGTCTGGCTGCATCTGTGGAGAGAAAGCAGAGGCACGGTGGCTGAGTAGTTAGCACTGCTGCCTCACAGTGCCAGAGACTTGGATTTGATTCCACTCTCAGACGACTGTCTGTGTGGAGTTTGAGCACTCTCCTTGTTTCTGTGTGGATTTCCGCTGGGTCCTCCAATTTCCTTTCACAGTCCAAAGATGTGTGAGTTAGGTGGTTTGCCCATGCTAAATTGTCCATAGTTTTCAGGGATGTTTAGGTTAGGAGTGTTAGCTTTGGGAAATGCGGGGTTATAGGGACAGGGTAGGGGCATGAGTCTGGGTGAGATGCCCTTTTGGAGGGTCGGTGTGGACTTGTTGGGCTGAATGGCCTTTCTCCGCACTATTGGGATTCTAAGGATTACTGAGTCAAGTGACCCTTTTTCAGAACAGATTCCTCTGAAGAAAGGTCACAAGTTGACACATTAACTCTGCTTTCTATCCACAGATGCTCCCAGGCATGCTGAGCTCCTCCAGCAATTTCTGTTTCTGTTTTATGTATCTTGTTCCTTGTTGGTGTGGGGTTACCGTTTACCCTTTGGTTTCTTTTCTACCCAAGAATGTTGATCGTTCAGTCATGATATTTGAGCCCTCTGGAATTTTCACAAGACCATTTTGTTATTTTCCTAATTACCTTAAAGGGCCCATAAAATCCTATCTCTTCAAACGTGACTGAAATCTATTCCCCCCTCATTTTAAATAAAAATAATGGAATGATAGCATCAAAATCAATTGACAACAATTGCACAGTCACATCTCCAGAGTTGTATATTTGCATCCACAATACTACATAAGCTTTCCAAGTTGGTCATTTTCTTTTTGGTAAGGGGTGGTGCACTGAAAGAAGGGTATATGATCTTGGAAAGGTTAAGTGAGCTATTTTGAGATGCACTTGAGCATCTACTGCAGATAGTTATGCTGTAATAAGGAGAATAACTTCAAAACAACACATGCATCCAGTTTTGAATAGGGCATGAAACAAGATATGTAGAGTCCAAAAGGATGCAATTGAAAAATCACAAAAACTGTGAGAAAATATTAATGTTAATAGATGTATTAACATATCTGCCATTCATGCCAACACATTCATTGCTTTTAAACTGAAATTTCAACAGTAATTTTAAAAATAAGACTTCAGTAGTTTGTGAACACTTTTTTTTCTATTAGCAATCAACAATACCTGTTGGATTGATAACTTCAGGACTCTCTATTGACATAATTTCTTCTGATGTTTTATTTACTGTTTCTTCATCAATCAAACTAGCTGTGGATACTGAAGTTGCTCCCGTATCATACCCTGTAAATTCAGAACCTACTATTACAAAAGTCAATGCGTTTATATTGTGATATTTCAATATTCAATATGAAAAGGAGAAATAAATTAGGTTATCACACGTACAGGTGGATAGGAAGCAAATGATGTAAAGCCACAGTAGATTAGCATGTAGTTAGATTGTGTGCATGGTGTTAGATGGAATGACACAATATATGTTGGCACTCAAATTCACTATTCCTTTGAATGTTTAATCTCAGGATCAATGTATTTAGTAGAGCCGTTGAGCTGCAATTCTTCATGGTATGGAAATTTTCATCTGTCATTTTAATATTGCATTTGGGGATTTCCGTATATTTTGAATTAGATATTCCTTAAGTTCATTGTTCAATGTCACTCCTATTTATTTGCTCTGCACAATTTGTAATTAAATAATTGCATGATACAGAGAATTAAGCAAAGGCTGGTTACTTCGTAACAGTGAACATTAACTACGACACAAGTTACTGTTCTCCCCTCTTCATAGGTGTGGATTAATACAAACTCTATTGAAATGAGTTGTAACTTTTTGATCTAAAACTAATTTATATAAAATGCAAACATAAAGCAAGCATAATTTCGAAAGTGAGCACATGAACATCCTTAGGTATCTTTGGGTAAGAAAACAAAAAAATAAAATTTACATTTTCTTTGAACATATTGAATAGTTTTACAACAGAAGAATATTTTCATTCTAGTTTGATTACTTGATGCTTTAGCAATCCAGGCTTTTTTTGTTAGTTGAAAAAGAATTAAAAATAGCCAGAGACAGACTGACTTTGTAAACTTTTCACCTAAATCTGTGTGGGATAGAGGCTTGACCCACCGGCCTGTCGTTTAAAATGGATTCCAATCAACAAATGGTACATTTAATTTAGCAAAGAACTCAGAAATAACTTTCTTTCAAAGCTACATCCTAAAATGTGAGCTCCAACCTAGGGTTAGGAAGCTCCAAAATGTATACTTGGCTATGTCTTCCACTTTAGCAATGAGAAAAGAGTTGCAGACTGGACCATCACAACAAGCCATGTTCATACAATGAGGAAATTGAGAAAAAAAAGTAACAACTTGCCCTCTTGAACTAACTGACACTTCAAATTACTATATTTTCCATTTCTCTATTTTTAATTCCAAAGTGTAACACTTCACATCTTTTCTATATTGAACTGTATCTGCTAAATTTTGCCCAAACTACTAGTTTATCAATGTGTTCCTCGTGCTTTTATAGCGTTTCTCACTGCATCACCACCTGAAACTTGTAGAACAGCAAACTTTGATATTTCTCCATTTAGTTGAGCAGATGTGTGTATCCTTTAAATCAACTAAAATTGGATAGCTTTTCATATTAGCCAATATTTAGGCCTTGAAACAATGAAAAGCCACAAATCTACTACAGCCAATGAAAACAATTTAAGCCATATTACTCTGTCCATTAAAAGTCCTCTGAAAAATCTATTCAATAATTTCCCCAATTGAAATACACGAAGGTTCTGCTTTTCTCACACAGCCATCCTTTATCGATGACATACATCTGCTGTAGGATGAGAAATGTATATTTGTTTCTGCCAGGAAAAGATATGTTGCATAAGAAAGGCAATGGCCTAGTGGGATTATCGCTGGACTGTTAATCCAGGGACTCACGTAACGTTCTAGGGATCCAGGTTTGAATCCTACCACAGCAGATGGTGGAATTTGAATTCATAAAATATTTGGAATTAAGAATTTAACAATGACCATGAACCCATTGCCAATTGTTGGAGAAAAACCAATCTGGTTCACTAATGCCCTTTAAGGGAGGAAACTACCATCTTTACCTGGTCTGGCCTACATGCGACTCCAGACCCACAGCAATGTGGTTGCCTCTGGGCAATTAGGATGGGCAATAAATGCTGCCTGGTCAGCGACGCCCTCATCCCTTGAATGAATAAAGGGGAATAAAGAAATGGCCATAGGGAAATTAATTGAAAAAGGAAAATGAAGACTCATATCAATTTGAAAAAGAGAATTTATCACAATTCCAATATGAAACTTATTGTGAAGACACTAGCAATTACAGTATTAATATTCAATATAGTGCATAAAGCTAAATAAATCAGTAGTATTCTATCATAGGACATTCAATTTCTTTAGCATTCTTAGCTGAACAGAAGCATAATGTTTGCACCAATGATTAGTTACGGTATAGATGGGTAAGGAAACATCATGTGGTAGTTATTTATTTCCAACTGCAGTAGCATTGTGAAGGAGGAAAGACATAGGAAAGTTAAGAAAAAAATAGCAAAAAATCTGTACCTTGCCTGGTGTAAAAATAAAAGAAGTGAAGTACTGCATTTGGTCTTGACAAGCTTGTTAGCTGTGGAAGATTTAGCCTTTTAATCCCCCTTTCTAATCTGGTTCTCATTTTACAAGTATATATCTTATTTTTAAAGATGTCAATTGATTCTGCACAGCAGGAACATAACAGTTTATTATCCCAAAAAATTACACAATTAAGATTTTAAAAGTAAGTAAAAGTTAAGTTTAAAATGCGATTTTACCTGAAGGTAACTCAACAATATATTCTCTGGATTTTGTACCATCTATTCCATCTGCAGACTCTTCAGAACGGCCCTCATCTGACACTTCATGAATTTTTATGGCATGTTCGGAAGTGTGCTTGTCTTGCTCAGATGTAATGTTTTGTTCTTCAGCTCCCTGGTTATGGTCTTCATTTTCTGCCATTTGTCTGCACAAAATAGAAAGGCGTTTTTTATAATACTGAGTTCGGCCTAATAATTTTTTTTTAAATTAATTTCATGATATGGGTCCAATAAAATCTGAAAGAACTGCAAATGATGTAAATGTGGAACAAAAACAGAAGTTGCTGGAAAAGATATCAGGTCTGACAGCATCTATGAAGAGAAAATTAGAGTTAACGTTTCGGGTCTGGTGACTGTTCTGAGGAAGGGTCACCAAAGCCGAAACGTTAACTCTAATTTTCTCTTCACAGATGCTGCCAGACCTGCCGAGCTTTTCCAGCAACTTCTGTTTTTGCTCCTCATGATATGGGTCCTTCAATTTACACATTCTTAGTTCCTTTGAGAAAGTGTGGGGAGCTACTTTCTGAAACTATTGTAGTCCATATGACGCATATACTTCACAGTGTTTTGAGGGATGAAGTTCCAGAACTCTGATCCAGTAGTTGTGAAAGAACAGCATGATATTTCCAAGTCAGGATGACATGTGACTCATAGCTGAACCTACAGGTAATGGTTTTCCATGTGCCTTTTGTCTTTGTTTTTTCAAATGGTAGAGTTTGCAGGTTTGAAATTTCCTGTTGAAGAAGTTTTGGTGAGTTACTGAACTGCAGTTCGTAGATAGTTCACACTACAGCCACAGTCCACCAGTGGTGGAGGGAGTGAATGTTTAAGTTGGTGGATAGTGTGTGATGCATTGAAATGTTTGAGGGTTTTGTGGGAAGATACACTCATTCAGGCAAGAGAAATGTATTCTTCTTACTCCTGACTTGTCCTGCTACAGAATAAACTTGTCAATTTATCTAATACCTTTAAATCGTAGGAAATAGGAATAAACAATCCAGACTTCTTTAAAAGGTCTATTTCTGGTATGATTCTTCTTCTACATGTGTTTTGTACAATACAAAATACAAATTGACTGTAAGAACTGCGGATGCTGTAAATCAGGAACAAAAACAAAGTTGCTGGAAAAGCTCAGCAGGTCTGGCAGCATCTGTGAAAGTAAAAACAGAGCTAATGTTTCGGGTCCAGTGACCATTCCTCAGAACTTCTTCGAAATTGTTTCATTTACTCTGGGCAATAAATGCTGGCCTAGCCAGTGACACGCACATCCCATGAATGAATTAAAAAAGAAAGATAAAAGAAAAAAAAGATGCGATACTCTTCCCTTGCTTGGATGGGTGAAGATCCAAAAACATTCAAAAGACTTAGCACTACAAAAGACAAAGCAGCTGATTGATTGGCACTCCATCTACCACATTCAATGTCCACTCCCTTCACCACTGATGCTCAAAAGCAGCAATATGTACCATCTACAAGCAGAACTCATCAAGTAGTTTCAAAACCTGTAGGCTCGATCACCTAGAATGGCTAAGGCATAGGAACACCACCACCAGCAATTTCCATTGCCCATCCTGACTTGAAGCTAAATTTGCTGTTCTAACATTGCCACTGGGTCAAAGTCCTGGAACTCCCTTTCTAACAGCACTGTGGATGGCACAACATCCCAAGGAGTGCAAGGGCTCAATGAGGTAGCTCAGCACCCACTTTCACCACCACAAATAAGAATGGGTAATAAATCACGGCCTAGACAACACCCCCCACATCTCATAAACTAATTTTTAAAAAGTCCCTTGTACTGTTATAGAGATTAGTTGGAACTGCAGATGCTTGAGAATTTGAGATAACAAGGTGTAGAGCTGGATGAACACAGCAGGCCAAGCAGCATCAGAGGAGCAGGAAGGCTGACGTTTCGGGCCTAGACCCTTCTTCAGAAGTGGGGGAGGAGAAGGGGGTTCTGAAATAAATAGGGAGCGAGGGGGAGGCGGATAGAAGATGGATAGAGGAGAAGATAGGTGGAGAGGATTCAGACAGGTCAAAGAGGCGGGGATGGAGCCAGTAAAGGTGAGTGTAGGTGGGGAGTTAGGGAGGGGATAGGTCAGTCCAGGGAGGACGGACAGGTCAAGGGGCGGGATGAGGTTAGTAGGTCGGGGATGGGGGCGGGGCTTGAGGTGGGAGGAGGGGATAGGTGGGAGGAAGGACAGGTTAGGGAGGCAGGGACAAGCTGGGCTGGTTTTGGGATGCGGTTGGGGAAGGGGAGATTTTGAAGCTTGTGAAGTCCACATTGATACCATTGGGCTGCAGGGTTCCCAAGCGAACTATGAGGTGCTGTTCCTGCAACCTTCGGGTGGCATCGTTGTGGCACTGCAGGAGGCCCAGGATGAACATGTCATCTGAGGAATGGGAGGGGTAGTTGAAATGGTTTGCGACTGGGAGGTGCAGTTGTCTAGTGTGAACCAAGCGTAGGTGTTCCGCAAAGCGGTCCCCAAGCCTATGCTTGGTTTCCCCGATGTAGAGGAGGCCACAACGGGATCAGCGGATGCAGTATACCACATTAGCAGATGTGCAGGTGAACATCTGCTTGATGTGGAAAGTCTTCTTGGGGCCTGGGATGGCGGTGAGGGGGGGAGGGGAGAGGTGTAGGAGCAGGTGTAGCACTTCCTGCGGTTGCAGGGAAAAGTGCTGGGTGTGGTGGGGCTGGAGGGGAGTGTGGAGCGGACAAGGGAGTCAAGAGACAGTGGTCCCCCCGGAAAGCAGATAAGGGTGGGGAGCAAAAAATGTCTTTGGTGGTGGGGTCGGATTGCAGATGGCAGAAGTGTCGGAGGGTGATGCGTTGGATCCGGAGGTTGGTGGGGTGGTACGTGAGGACAAGGAGGATTCTGTTTTGGTTGTTATTGTGGGGATGGGGTGTGAGGGATGAGTTGCGGGAAATGCGGGAGACACGGTCGAGGGCGTTCTCGACCACCGATGGGGTGAAGTTGCGGTCCTTGAAAACTCTGCAGCCCAATGGTATCAATGTGGACTTCACAAGCTTCAAAATCTCCCTTCCCCCTACCGTATCACAAAACCAGCCCAGCTCGTCCCCGCCTCCCTAACCTGTCCTTCCTCCCACCTCAAGCCCCATCCCCATCTCCTACCTACTAATCTCATCCCACCCCCTTGACCTGTCCGTCCTCCCTGGACTGACTTATCTCCTCCCTAACTCTCCACCTACACTCACCTTTACTGGCTCCACCCCCGCCTCTTTGACCTGTCTGTCTCCTCTCCACCTATCTTCTCCTCTATCCATCTTCTATCCGCCTCCCCCTCTCTCCCTATTTATTTCAGAACCCCCTTCGCCTCCCCCATGTACTGTTATAGCATTTTTTTCCTCCAACCCCTTTCAGGTTTTGACTTCCTACCGAAAGTTTGGTGGCCAGAATTGGATATATACTTTACTTGGTCACTTAGTTATAATTTATAATTATTTACCTAAATTTCTGACATGTTCTATTCCATGGTCACACCTATAAAGTTAAACAATCTACTTTTTTTTAGTAACCTTCCCAATTTGTCCTGCCATCTGAGATTTATGTATGTATACTCCTAATTTCCCCTTTGAAATTAAGTTAATTTATATCGCCTCTCCTCATTCTTCCTATAACATAGCATCACTTCTCAATCTCCTGTGTTGCATTGCATATTCTCCGTGCTTCACCAGTTCACTGATCCAACTGTGGCCTCCTGAAGTTACTATTCTCCTCACTACATCTCAGAGTTTCAGTAATCGGCACATTTAAAAAAATATGCCCTATATACCAAAGTCCAGGCTATCAATATATATTGAAGAGTAATTGTTCTAGTAATAAGTGCTCAGGGACACAAGTGTATACATGCCTTCAGAGTGAAAAACAACTGATCGCCACCACTCTCTGCTTTTGGACTCTTAGACCATTTCATACTTTGTTCAACAAGAAGAAAAAGATTGGTTCAGTAAGAGAACGACATAATGCCAGAATGGGACGTTATATATCTTGGATGCTTGTATGCAATGTGGTTGAATTCCAGAAGGCCCGAGACGTCTAATTTCAGAGTTCATTTGAGAGTGATGCCTCCAAAGTTTCCAAAGGGATACAGAGCTAACTTGAAGATCTACGACTAGTTTGCTTTAACTTTGCTAATGGATATTAATTTTTACAAATGTTTAATTAAGTCTAAAAGTGGGACAAGAACTGAGTACGTTTCTAGGTACCCGAGGGTCTCCGTCCCTGGTTGGGAATACTCCCGGGGGGGGGTCCTCGCCCCGGGGTCGCGGATACTCCCGGGGGGTCTCCTCCCCGGGGTCGGGGATGCTCCCGGGGGGTCTCCGCCCCGGGGTCGGG